CCAAGAAGTAGCTGTCTAGCATCTTGGCAGCCCTCTGAAGGTCTCTGGCAATGGCAAAAATCGATGGGATGCTGTACAACAAAGAGGAAGATTTGCACTTAGGGTGCGACCCCAACGAATATGTGTGTGCATAACTCTAATCCGCAATCAAAATGCGTTTCTTGACAACTTGGCCTTGAGCACATAAATCGCCGACGCCCCCAGGACCACGCCCTGTGCTTTAATTGGAAGCCCTTGTCGTCGCTGGGGTCGCACTTCTGCTGCTGCACATGGAGGGGTGTGTGCCACAATGTTAATCATGACGCACACGTTAGCTAAATTAACGGCCCGACTGCAAGCAGTAATTGGAACTGCTAAAAGATATATGGGTCCAAGTTCTTGTCCATTCTTATGCTGAGACTTTACATTCATCTCTGTCATTCGTCTACTGTTTATTTTTAGCTTTAAAAGTTCGTGTCAAAAAAACTGAAACAGCTAAAAAGATACAAAAACAAAAGACTAAGAAGTGAGTTGAGAGTTATGTTTAAGACTTTGGTAAATTACTGCGCGTTTCACATACAATTTCAATGTCATGAAAACCTATTGAAAAACTGCAACACAAAACAAAAACAAGAAAATTGTTTACTTTAAAGTGAGTCGTGTTGGCGGCATTGAACAACGAGTTTAGGTGCTTGGAGAGTGTGAAGGAGCCGAAAGAGACCTCGACATAAAAGACAATGAGATGGAGGAACACACGAACAGGGACAAGTGCTGTGCGCTCAAACAGCTGATCAACAACAAAATATATTTAGATGCAAAGCTATAAATATAACAAGATAGATAGATACATATTCACAAGCGTAACAAAATATATATGATTAAAAACTTTCGACAATTTGTAATATCTTAAAGCGTTCACAAATCGAATTCTAATAATAAGTCAAAGATTTGAAATACTTATTAAAAAATGCCAATAACAACAAAAAATATAAATAATTTAAACAAATAAACAAAGCTTAAGCAGCTGCAAAAACCAGCAAAAGAAAAAACAGCTGATAAATCATAATAAATAAAGTTACAATTTATGTGGAATAAATAATAAAAATAAATGAACATATGAATTGAAAGTATGCGGAAAAGCAACAAGCATTTATAACATATTGCAAACAGGCCGAATTTCAACAGTAAATCATATTATTACAGCTGCGACCTTCCCAGACCTAAAGTTAACCACAAAATAATGCTGCCTACACCTGCCTAGGGAACATGTTTATCGATCCGAACATTCTTAGCACTAATCAATAAGTTTATTTAGATTATGGCAATGAGCGCAGCAGCCCAATTAAAATACTAAACCTAAGGCCTGCCCGCTCCCTGCCCAAAGAGATTTTCAGTTGACAGGCGACTATTTATAGAGCGTGCGTGAAAGAGATAGCAAAAGGTGGACGAGGGCGTCAACGAACCAAATAAAAGATAGAAAAAAGAAAAATATATATAATAAAGAAAAAAGAAATTCACCTAAAATAACGACTCTTTTTATGACAATTTTATTTGATTTAATTTCTGCTTTTTGCATATGCAAGGGGCCAAGTTGTAATGGACTTAAAAAGACGTCGGCGCATGCTTTAAATTTAATTAAAGTGAAAATTTTGTTCATAACAAAAAAAAAAAGAAAGAAAAGGGGTAAAAATAAGGCGAAACAAAAATGCAAAGAAAGTTTTGTTGTTATTTCTTTAGCTGACTGGCGCTTGGATTGGCTTTGGCTTTGGCTTTTGTTTTTTGTTTTAGCCGTGGCTCGTTTGGTTTGGTTTTTATTTTGAATTTCTGATACTTATTTCTATTTTTATGCAGGCCTCGCAATTGACCCGCTTATTAGCCAGGCTTGAAGCTTGGAATTTGCATTACCAATATTTTCGTTTACGTGTTTAAATCAATTAAACGTATTTAATACTCTGCTTACACACTTTCCTCTCTACCTCCTACCTCCTACCTCCTACCTCACTCCCTCCATGCACTCTTCGCATGATATGTAAAATACGTTGTTTCCATGTCCCAAACAAAAGAAATGTTTCTGTTTTTTTCTATGGCGCAAATTTTTTATGTAAATTTTGAAATGTTTATGGCAAAAGAAATAACAATAATTGGCCATAGTAGCTACTGATTTTTACTCATTTTTTGTTGCTTGTTCTCAGACAATGAGCAGCGATTGAGTTGTAAACTTTTGATTGACTGGGGGAAAACGCCTTGATGGAATCATCAATAGAATATTTTGACAATCAGCTGTATGGAATGAAACCATTTTTAATGAAAGACTAGAGATTTATATGTAATTCTCAAACTTGGACTCAAGATTCTTATAGCCACTGTATACTATAAACAAATTTGCGAACGTTTGTATTAGTGAAGCTGTACTGTTCATTTGTTCATACTTCCATCTTAAATACGAAATTCAAACAACTTCCCTTGCATTAGTCAGCTTATAGTTTAGCAAACTATCAAAATCCGGAAACATTCCAGTTGCAAAAATGGAAAGGAAAAGGGAAAGGGTTAAAAGCTAATAGATAACGCTGACTGCGACTGTCTAGACATGCAATTTTATCCTGGCAGAGAGCAGAGCAAAGCTGCTGCGGTGGCAAGTTTACCAGCTGCACACACAAACACACACACACTCACACACACACAGACAGGCAAGCAGACTGTCTGACTGGCACACACCTACATATAGATAAAGAGAGTTTGAGGGTGTGCTGCCGGGTGTCACGCAAAAACTACCCCCGAAATTGAAATTGAAATCGAAAATATAAAAGAAATTGCATCGAAGTGTATAGCAAAAAAATTGAGAAAAAAGGAAAGAAAAAACGTGATAAGCGCTAAAAACTACAAAGTCCAGCCACCGCTTAACAGCAGCTGAGGCAGCACATTTCAATGCAAAGTGGGGTAGACGGGGGCGGCGTTCAGGTAAAACGCCAAAAACGGGCGTGTCAGCAAACGAGTTAAGTAAAAATGAAAAGAAAAAAACAGCTGTGTGCCAAATGGCGGCAGGAGGCCGTGGAAAAACAGTTAAGAAAAAAATCAGTTGACGGCTGCCTGGAACAGACCCAAAAATAATAAAGTAGCATTCAGCAGCAACAAAAACAACAACGAGAAGAATTCCACGCTTGCGGCCCGCAATTTACATAAAACACGGAAAACCTGTTTTTAGTATCTTTTTTTCTTCTTAAGTCGTCGTTCTGTTGGTCAAGAGAGGGACAGAGAGAGGCAGCGCGAGAGCAAGAGAGCCAGTTCAACCTCGCGAGAACACTTCAAACACACGCTTGCACTTTAAGCTTGACGTACGGAAACAACAAGAACAGCAACAAGCAAACAAGGCAAGAATAAGACAAAAAATAAAATAACAACTTACCCATAGCTCAGTACCCCAACTCATTTTGTTGTTGGAGTTTGACGCTGCTGCTGCTGCGTTTTCTGACTCTGCCAGTTTCTGCTGCTGCGCTGCTTTTGGTTGATCCGTTTGCCACTGTTATTATGATTAGTGTTGTAAATAACAGCGGAAGAACATGGGACGAAAATAAAAAAGAAGAGTAAAAACTGAGAATTTTATTTCGTTATCGTTGCCTTTGCGTTTTGTCTAATTGTCTGTGAACAAACAACAGCAACAACAACATCAACAACAGCAAATAGAAAAAGAGAGCGATTTCCAATTCTCAGAGTTTACAGCAATGCTTAATGCAGACGTGTCCGCGGTCGCAGCAGCGACGCCGGCTGTGGCAGCGGCAGGTAGATCAAATGGTTAAGGAATTTGAATTGTGGAATGGGGGAACTGGGGAACGGGTAGTACATAGGACTTTTAAAGTGCTGCCAATCGCCAATAAATATCAACAACAAATAAAACCGGCCACCACCGACGCCGATACCGCTGCTGACGTCAAGAAATTTTTCGTGCACTGGCATTCGCTGCAGCCTCGCGACAGCGCAAGAGAGTGAGAGAGAACGCGAGAGAAACGACGAGATTTTGAGCGTGGCTGCATTTCGTAATTGGGAGAGCGCGAGTCAATTGGAATTGAAAAGCAATCATTTATTTATGACTCGATACATTAATATATTAAACACATTTCACCGCGCGCGCCGCTCTTAGATTGCATTTGCCATTAGTCTTAATTTTGAATTTAAACGCAGCGAAACAATGAACAACGAACGAATGGTTGCAACAACAGCAACAACCATTTGATGCCAGGCCAAACAATAAGCAAAAGTGCCTATTGTTGTTTTTTTTACATAATTTTGCACACGCACATATACACTGGCGCGCGCACATACACTCGCACACAGCAACGGGCATAAGCCGAGTGCACGCACTTTGCTTCTTTTATTCTGGGTTGCTGGTTTTTTCGCGTATCGAACTGAAGTGCAGCCTTTGGGATTCCTTGTTATTTTTCATGCTGTTCAAGTGTTGCACAATACTTTATCACATTGATATGCGCCTGCACTTAGTATGCGTCATAATTTAGGCGACACTAACACACGCACTCACACATATGAGCACAATTTAATTGTTGTTTTTTTTTTCATACGAAAACAACAGCATACGGACCACGTAGACTCTTACCTTCGGCGATTCGATTGCAACTAAACTAGCGCTCAGTAGTGTGACCATACCGCGAAAAACTAAAAATACACAATTATACAATCGATGAAATGTGTTATCGGCGAGCATGCAGCGAATGCAAAAGTAACGAGTCAATGGTACAATTCGTTCGTTATTTTCAAATGGTTTTCATAACAGAAATACAAAGGCACCTCTATTTTATAACAGTTACATATAATTTATTTATTTAATAACTAACTAAATAGCGGACATTTTTCATTAGTAATTTCGCAGTTTCTAGCTTGCATCGTTAGTTGTTGCATATATGGGTGCAATTAATAAATTTCTCATCAAATTATATACAGTTAGGATGCAATAACAATTACAAAATATTCATTTCAAATCTCTGCTTAAGCTAAAACATAAAAATATATGCTTTTGTGTGAGTGTGTGTTACAGTCATTGGACATTTGATTCCATTTGCTGAAATTGTATTCATCTTAGTTCGAGAGTATTTCGCGCAGATTCGAGACTTATTTGTTAATAAATATGAAATAGACAAGGTCAATCAAATACTAATTTATATATGAAGCTTTACTAAACGTATTGTGCCCGATCTGCTAACTAATTGGCTCATCCTTTAACTCTGCTGCAGCAGCACCTCCGCAGCCATCTCCAAGCTCCAACCGGTTTGCTGTAGCGCCTGCTCACATTGCGGCCTGCCTGCCACGCCCAGCCGAGTGAGCTGATCGATTTTGTAGTGCCTCATAGCTAGTTGGACATCGCCGCTGGCGGCGCGTAGCGCATTTCGTACATCCTGCTCGACAGCTGCGCTGCCCAACTCGAGCAGCAGCTGCTGCAGCTTCTCCTGCTCACGCTGCGCCTCTGCCGGCACTGGAGCATACAGCTGATGTGCGCCTTCGAGCTGTTGCTGCTGCTGCTGGCGCATCTTGTCCAGACGCCGCTGAATCTGCTGTGCCGAAAGTGGTGGCGGTGCCAGAGGCGCCGGGCGATGCGGACGCAGATAATCATCCAGAGGGACCTCATCGTAAAGAGCAGCGCCACCGGCGCCGTTAGGCACCTGGCCGTAATAGACGGAGCCAGCCATGCTAGCAGCCACGGGATCATAGCGTTCTCCGCCAGTGGCTGCAATGCTGCCATAGAGAGAGGAACTGGAGGCATAGACGCTGCTCTTCGGAGCCACCACCCGATTGGAGATGGCCACAAAGGAGTGGTGCGTCTCCGGCTGTTGCATTTGCTGTGACTGCTGTGTCTGCAAATGGTTCTGATACAGTTGCTCCGACTGCTCGGGTGGCGGCTGTGCGTAATACTCGGAGGGCATGGCAGTCACACGCTCATACCAGATGCGATTCACTAGACTCTGCGTGGTCGTGGTGGTGGCAGCGGCTGCTGCTGCCGCTGCTGCGGCAGTCTCCACATTGTTCTGTTTGGGTGTGGGCGACGCCTGGCTGGCATTGGATGTGGGACTGGAGTGATTAGAGTGATTGCCACTACCAGCGGCATTCTTCAAGGGTGTGAGATTCTGTTTGTAGACGACTTCTTTGTTGGCATACATCTGCGCCGAGTTGCGCTGGTAATCCTCCTGCGCCTTACTGCTGCCGCTGTACATATCCTTCTCTAGCTCAGCTATGAAGGATTTGTCCAGCAGTACGCTCTCTGATGTAGTCGGTGGCTGCTGCTGCTGCAGCTGCACATTGGCGACCACCTCATTCCGCTCCAAGGAGAGATTGCTTAGATTGTACTGCATGGCAGCCGACTCCAAAGCAGGTATGTTCTCTTTGTTCGCATGCCCATTGGACAGACCAAACAGATTCTTGCGCGCTGCTGGACTGCCGTAGATGGGAGCAACGACAGCAACTGGATCAGGAGTTGGCGCATTTGAGTAGAGCATTAGAGCGCCTGCACTAGCGTCTAGGCTGCTCGTATCGAACGGATCGCGGACGGGCGTCTGCTGCTCGCGCTTCTGTTGCTGGGCAAACTCCATGGTGTTCGAGTAAGTGGGCGGCATTTGATAGGGCGGCGGCTGCAGTCGCGCTGGCGAGGCACCGTTCGATTCGAAGTCGAACTGCGGCTGTTCGTTGAAGAAGGTGGGCGTATTGGGACCCGACGAATAGGTTGTGCCTGCGCCACTCTCATTGAAAGTGGGCACATCAATGGGCGCATCGAGCAGGCAAAAGCTGCTGTCCAGCTGCAGCGAGGAGCTGTCGCCAACACCCAACACAGCACTAGGTCTCATCTCTGGCGAGATGTCAATCAGTATGCCCTCCTCCTGCTGCTGCTGCTGAGGCGGCGGTGGTCGCTGTGGACCCGCCAGACTCTTGGTTTTCACCGCATTCCGTCGCTGCAGCCCAGCCGAATCGTTGACAAGCTTGTTGTAGGCAAACTGCTTGCTCGATATGGACTTGCGCTCCTTGGCATGTCCGGTCTGAGCTGACTGCGTAGCTTGCGGTTTCAGGGAGGCGCACTTGCGTTGCCGCTCCTCACTGTTCGGCAGCGCACCACCAGCACCACCACCACCCCAGCAGATGCCAAAGGACGAACCATGCGTTGCGTTGTTGCCACGCATTTGTATATCGTTTTGACGACGCTGCTCCAGCAGGGAGCGCGGAAAGATGCCAATGTCGTAGGTGCGCTGATTTTGACCCTTTATTAGCTTCAGTTCCGAACGGCCATCGATGATGGCAATGGTATCGCCCAGCTCGATCTGCAGGCCCTTGGCATCATGATAACTGCGCGAGGCGCGCATCACAGGCGGCGACATGCTGGCCAGATATTCTCTGTAAGCGAGTATCAAATTTTGGATTAGCAATGGTTCAAATAGAGCTAGCTGGAACCTACTTGAGTGCCGCGAACGTGGGTCGTTCCGCTGGCGTCTTATCCCAGCACTGAAGCATCATAGCATAGACATCGGGCGGGCAGGCGTCTGGTTGATGCAGTCGCTCGCCCTCTCGATCGATCTTGCGCAAGATCTGTGAGCCGTTCAGCCCCACCCAGGGATCCTCGCCAAAGCTAAACATCTCCCACAGCGTGACACCAAACATCCAGGTGTCTGAGGCATGCGAGAATTGACGAAAACGTAGCGATTCGGGCGCACACCAGGGAAACGGCACCTTCTTATGCTCGGACATCACGTAGCAGTCATCCTCCTGGGGCAAAGCACGCATTAGACCAAAGTCTCCAATCTTAATCTTATTGCCAGCGGCCAGCAGAACATTGCGGCAGGCGAGATCACGATGCAGAAATCGCTTCTGCTCCAGATAGGCCATTCCAGTGACAATCTGCACGGACCAGTTCCAGATGTGGGTCAGTGAGGTGTGGCGGCACTGCTTGCGCAGTGTGTCCAGCAACGAGCCACGCTCCGCTAGCTCCGTAATCATCATCATGGGCTGTGATAGCACCACGCCGTACAGACGCACCAAATTCGAGTGGTCGAGGGCATGCATGGCCTGCACCTCGCGAAAGAAATCGTCAATGATGCCAGGTTGGGTTAGATTGTCCGACTTGAGCACCTTGACGGCCACTTGGAGCACCTTGCCAGCCGGCGAGGCGCTCCACTCGCCGCGTCGCACCACTCCAAAAGAGCCATCGCCCAGCTTCAAGCCCAGCGTGATGTCCTTCTCATGGATCAGGCACGTCAACGCGCCCGGCTGCATGTGCTGCTGCTGCTGTTGCTGCTGCTTCTTGGACGAGGGCTGCTTGCCCCCGCCGATTAGCTTCGAGAGTATATTCTTGCGCCACTGATGCGCTTTCTTCTTGCGCACTGCATCCATGAGCCGCCGAATGGCCGGCTTGCCAAGCCCGCAGCGCTCCAAATCGTCGCGCAGCACATAGTCAAAGTGCGCCAGCCGTGTCACCTGCAGATCATCGCGTATGCGTTCCAGGAACTGTTCCAGCTGCACCTCACGAAGCAAATCTTCCAGCCAGGCCGTCTCGCTGGCGCCGCCATCGCCACCCGCAGGCGAACCCATTATTCTATGAACTACAAGAAACATTGATGAAACAAGTAAAATGAATAAGTAAATTTTTAAAATTTAATAGAAATATTGAAGGGGAGCGGCTTTTGGGCAGATTAAAAAAATAGGTTGTCTATGTATATAATAATGTCTATAAATAATGAATTTCCTATCAATAAACCCCCTTTCTATAATTCCATTGGCCAAATTCTAAAATTTCGAGTGTTTTTCTTGTTTTTTTTTTTTTATATATAGTAATTTAAATTATATTGGCAGAGTATTTAAGAATTTACTTAAAATTCCTTTTTTTTTTTTTGTATTTTTCATAACATTTTGACATAGTTTTAATATGTGACCATTCACTCTTGCAACAAGCTGCATACATTGAAATTGGTTTGTTTGTTTTTCTTTTTCTTTTCTACTTAATTGTGGTACTTCCCACGCTCACGAAATATGGGAAATTTCGATTTGCATGCTGCTCACGTATGTTGTGTACGGAAACTCTTTGAATTGTTTCGAACAATTTGAATAGGGTTGGGGCGTGCCTTCAAACTTGTTGCTTGCTTCGCCTCGGTCTTCGAATAGCCGCAGCGAACTTGAACCCAAAGTGTCATAGCATAACGGTCCTAAAGTACTTTGTTAGCGAAAGTGCTATATGACATTAAATGGACAAACAGCAAATTAAAATTGGCGACGTGTTGCCGCTGTCGGCGTCGGCGTCGGCGTCGAAACTTTATTATCAATAGTAAACAGTATTACGTCAGCTATAAACGGTGACAGCGCCAGAGACTGCGACGGCGACTGAGACGGCGACTGCGCTGCAGCAGCTGCATGCAAGTGGGCCATACATGAGTGAGAGAGAGAGAGAGAGAGAGAGACCGAGACTGAGTAAATAACAGAGCGCGCAGTTGCAACAGCAATACCAACAACCACAGACAGAGCATTCAAAACGTCAAATTAGCTGCGACTGCAACGAGTTTCAAAAGAATTCTTGGCGCGTGCTAAAGTTGCGGTTGCAAGCGATAAGAGCCGGAGGTAAGGTGTTTGAGTGAGTACACTATGAGAGTAGCCCGTATTTTTAGAGTCTGATTAATTACAACGATAAACTTTGCAAAAAAGCTTGAACTAATAACGCCTAACAAACAAAGCTATTCAGCAATTACTAAGACGGAAACAATTTGTGTTGTAAAGCGGATGCGGCGACACAGAAAAACACATTTTAAAGCAGCAAATGTCGCTTGGAAAGAGGATATTCCAAAGTAGATATTTCCATTGAAAAATGCAATTCAATCAAAAAGACTAAAATAAATATTTTCATATAAAATTTGTTATATGCAAGAAATAAAATAAAAATGTAAATACTGATTACTTCCTATTTACTGCGAAATGTTTCATTTATGGAACGCACACTGTAACCTGAATTTGCGGTGGCGATCAACCACCACCCAAAAATTAGAACAGTTGGCATAACAAAAGGATACAAAAGTTTTACAGTTGTGTTAATTCCCAATAGATTGATAATAGGAACAGCGAAAATGGAACACTTACTCAAGCAAGCTTCTGTCGAGTGGTTTTGGTTTTTTTTTGGGAGCAGCTGCAGCCGCTTCTGACCAAATAAAGTCACAGGCTGTGGCTCAGCGAAGCGTTGACGCTTCCGTTGTCGTTGTTATTGTTGTTGTTGTCGTTGTCGGCTGCTGCACTTTGCGAAACTTCCTGTCTTGCTGGTAAACAGGTTGTGAAGATGAAACTGAAACTCAATATGTGTGCACAGCTTGGACAGACGTCGCAGCCGCAGCAGGCGCAAGGTGAAGGACGTCGACGCCGACGTCTCCGTCTGCTTCGTCTTATATTGCCTGCCCTGCGTTTGTATGTGTGTGTGTGATGCTTTGTTTACACTCGCACAAATAGCAGCTGGCTGTGGAAGCGCCAATGTTGTACATGGAAATTGGCCATCATCGCCGTCATAATCGAGACGAATTGAGGTGCAGGAGAAGACCGCTTAATATTAATTTAGTTGGGCCCCCACACACACACACGCAAACACTAATGCACAATCCGCAACGCTGCCCCGCTCTCTGCCGCTGCTGCTGTTTCTGCTTTCGTCGTCACAGTTTTTTGCACAAATTTTTCTTGAGTTTTTACCCCTTCGTTGTCCGTTGTTGTTGGTTCCAGCGTTTATTTTGTTACATATTCCTCACATTAGATTTGTGTAATTTCGCATAAATTAAACAAAAATTAACGTTTTCCATGGAAATGCGCGCACGAAAGACAGCACAAAATAAAGGCAGCGAAAAAAATATGCGAGGGGCGAATGCACGAAACGAAGCTTTAGCTATTGCTGTTGCTGCTGCGTTGACAAGCGCTATAGAGCTTTTATTCGAGTCACGTTTGCGGCTTGTGTTTGGACAGCAGCGAACAACAAAAAACAAAGCGCGAGGCTTAATTATATTTTTAAATAAAAAACCTACTGGTTAAAGCCGTGCGACGCAGACGCCTCCTGCGTATGTTGACAATGTACCAATACTGGATGGTGGTATTACCAGGTCTTGAAACCAAAAATATACTGACTTCTTTAAAGAATACTATTCCAGTGTTAGCAATATACTGAAGCAGTTGGGCGACGCATTATAGCGACGTTATTGCGGTCACACTGAACATGTGTGTGTAGTCGCTTCGTGGTGAATGCCGGCGGTTTTAAAGCACACGTGCAGAGCTGTTCAATTATTTTGACTATTTTATTTAATGAAAAATTGTTTAAACAAGCTAAAAACATGCCGGCAGCTGTAGCTACAGGCGTGCAAATCGCTGGACCATTAAAAAACAAAAAGATTGTATTCAATGATGAAGGTGAAGCTGTGGCAAAACCCAAGTGGGAGAAGCACAACAAAAAGGCGCCCACAAACAAGCCACAAAACACCAAAAGTGCGACAAATGGACAGGTGAAAAAGATGCAGAGGATAAAATTCAGCGAGGATGGCGATGCAGAAGAGGAGGAAGTAAAGTTTAATAAGCACAAATCGGAGCCGGCAAAAAAGGGCAATCATTTAATCTTCAATAATGAAAACACGGCAAAGAAGCCGCAGCGCATAAAATTCAACGAAGATGGCGAAGAGAAGGAGCAAGGATCGGACAGTGAAAGTGAAAATGAGGCACATGTGGCTGCGCCCAAGAAGCGGAATAATAAACAGTTCCAAATGGACGATTACGACCCACAAAAGAAATGGTACCAAGTGGCAAGTATTAATATAAAAATAAAAATCTTTGAATATATAATATGATTTTGCGTACGTTTATGCAGCACACAGAATATCCGAGCACCGATGAAGTCCTGGACATGAAGGAGAACGAGCAGCTGGAGTTGTTCAATCTATGCAAAGCTTCCTTTGAGTCTGAGAAGAACACGTTCAATAAGCGTAGGAGTTTTTATAAATATATGTACGAGAATATTAAAATACTAAGTAATCTTAATTATAGGCAATCCCACCGATGCGCGCTGGCTGCAAACGGCGCTGCACAAGGGCACAGCCAAGGATCGTGCCAATGCAGGTGCTTTGCTTGTGACGAGCAATCCGCTGGGCAATCTGGAAGCACTGTCCAACCTGATTGCCTTCTGCAAAATATCCAACAAAAGCAGCAACGATGTCATTGCTGTGCTGACGGATCTGTGGCAAGAGGTGTTGCTGCCGCCACAGCGCAAACTGCTTGCCATACACACGCGTGGCGCTGATTGGAAGCTGCTCAAGAAGCAGGATCTGCACAAGGAGCAAACACGTCGCATCTATGCCTATTGGTACTTTGAGAATGAGCTGAAGGATCAGTATCATGAGTATTTGAAGAATCTAATGCAAGGACTACAAACGGGTCAGGAACATAACAAAACGGCTGCCATTGTGGCTGCCTCAAAACTGCTCGCCTATGCACCAGAGAAGGAGCAAATGCTGCTCACCATGCTTATTAACAAATTAGGCGATCCTATTGCCAAAATCGCCTCCAAGGCGCTACATCATCTAAGCGAGGTGGCACAGAGACATCCCAACATGTGCGGCGTCATTGTAGCCGAGGCCGAGAAGTTGCTCTTCCGTAACAACATTGCCGAACGTGCCCAGCACTTTGCTTTGTGCTTCCTCGCCAGCATTGCGCCTTCTGGACGGCCGGAAGTGTGCACCAAGCTGGTCAACATATGCTTTGCCTTGTTCAAGGTGCTTGTGCAGAAGGGCGCCGTCAATAATCGCACCATGCAAGCGATTCTGCGTTGCTTGCAAAAGGCCATCACCGAGGCCCAACCGGCGAAGGGCAGCACCGAGCTTCTGACCAAGGAGATGCAGGATACCATCTATCGTCTGGTTCACTTGGCCGATATTCGAGTCTCGGTACAAACGTTGGGCCTGCTGCTGCAGTTGGTGACAGTGAAAACCGAGAAAACGGATCGTTTCTACAATGCGCTGTACATTAAACTCTTGGATCTGAATCTGATCAACATTGGTGGCAAGACTGCAGCCCAACTGCTGCACATTGTGCATCGGGCCATTCACATTGACAAACATGTGGCCAGAGCTCAGGCGTTTGTTAAGCGGCTGCTCCAGTTGGCGCTCTATGCGCCGCCCAACATGTCCGCAGGCTGCCTGATTGTTCTCCACAAGCTGCTGCGAATGCGCCGCGAGCTGGTTGGTGGCATTGGAGATATAGAAATGGCTGCAAATGCTAAGCAACTGTTGCCCGCTGCTGCAGCTGAGGATTTGGACAAGTTTGGCAGTGATGGCGAGGAGGTTTATAAAGATGCAGATGACGAGCAAACTGATTCTGCTGTGAAAAAGGAAAAGGACCCTGTAGCAAGCTCCTGGCATCATGTCAATCTTGTTGCCACCGAGGCGAAGGTGCGCGACATCGATGCCTGCAAATACGATCCATATCATCGAGTGCCGGCATTTGCGGGCGCTGGCTACGCCCTACGAAACGAGCTGCTGTTACTGCGTCAACATTATCATCCCACGGTGCAGGTATTTGCCGAACAGATACTCCTGGGTAAGTGGAAATCGTTAATCACAATTTTATTTTATTGTATATCTCATCTCTCTCGCTCTTTTTTAGAGAAACGCATCGATTACTATGGCGATCCATTGCGTGACTTTGGATTGCCTCATTTCCTAGAGCGTTTTGCATTCAAGAATCCCAAGAAGTTGGACTATCAGCAGGCAGTTGATGGAGCCGCCAGCGCTGCCCACAAACGATACACGTCCTTCGGAGCACGTGGCAAGCCGGTTAAGTCGCTGACCAAGACAAACTGCACAGAGGACGAGATGTTTATATTCAATTATCTGGAGCATAAACGCAAACTGGCGGAGCTGGTGGAGCAGACTAAGCAACAGAAAAAAGTAGAGGAAGAAGCTACAGAAGCGGCTGATGATGATTTAAAAGAGGGTGAAGTGGATGATGATGAATTTGAATCCTATTTGGATGATTTCTTTGGCAAAAAGCTGAAGAAAGGTGAAGATGGGGAGCAGGATGAGGAGGAGCTAAATTACTTGAAGGAACTGGGCGGTGAGCTGCAGGCGGACAAGTCCAAAAAGAAGGAAAAGAAAAAGAAACAAACAGAAGATGATGAAATGGAGGACGAATGGGATGATAATGATGCCGAGGATGAGGATGAAGATGAGGACGAGGAGGCGGATGAACTATCGGATGCAGGTGCAGAGGATCAGTCGGATGATGAGACAGGCTCAATCGATTTGGAACCATTGGATGACAATGATGATGATGATGATGATGATGACGACGACGACGATGATGATGGCTTACTAAACATGGGTAACGATAGTGATGGTAGCGAGGCTCCTGAGAGTCCCGACGAGGACGATGATGATGACGAGGACTCGCCACCCAAGACAAAGAAATCACGCAAAGATGTCGCCTTGAATGAGCGCAACTTTGCGCAGAAACTAAAACACAGCGACGGTTCGTATGAGTTATTTTTAGTACTATTATTCCAAACATTAATATATATATGATCGCACTGTAGACATGAGCTCGCTGTTTGCTGCTGCGGATGATTTCTCAGCACTGCTCGAGGAAACTGGCAAAACCAAGGGACAGGGCACCAGCAATGCGGTCTTCAACAAGGATAAATCGTCTGATAAACAGCTCAAGTGGGAGGAGAAGCGAAGGTCGAATAGCAAAAACTATACAAGCAAAAAGTTTGGCGGAGGCAAAGCTAAGAAAGGCGGTGGAAAGCCAAAAGTGGGCAAAAAGCGAAAACATTAGCGGGTAATTGGGAAGAGCGACGAATGCGACTGGTTTTATATATATAGAAATCTAATTGTGTTATGGATTATGTAAATAAACAATTAAATGATTTATGCTTAACTTTTCTTCTGTTTTTAAGTGTTTACTGTTAGTCAAATTGAAATAATTATCACCATAGCAAAGTTTTATCGATAGTTAGATAACAGAATGACTGCTTTAAATTTGTGTTGTTTTCTCGTAAGCTTAGCAGTCTGACGAACTAGTTCACTGCTGATCGAGTCAACTTTGTAGCGTTATCGATACTCGATAACTGTGGTAAGTGGCGGATTTTTACATTTTTAAATTGGTATATCAGGCGCAATAATATTTGAATTATTTTATTTTAACTTTATATACAAACTTTGGTGACTTACACGCTAGCAATTTAAATTGTGGTTTATATGTTTCTTTTTCTCCATTTTTACAGCTAAAAACAACGATCAATCGAGCGCTATGTCAGTGTATATGTGTATCATTCTTATAGATAAGCTACACCATATGCTAAAATAAGATATTTGCGATTTGATTGTTTATCTTAAGTGGTAACTAATTGTTGTCGTCCCCTCGTTTGTTGCTTAAAATATGATTAAATATATCATATATATATATTTATATATATGACATATATATATATGTATATATATATATTTATGTATATACTATTGGAACCTTAGAAACTATTGCTTCGGTTGTAAAAATTCTTTATAATAATCATTATAATGCTTGGCTTTCAATTGATTTGGAAAGCCAGCATTTTGTGTTTTGGCTTCCTCTTAGTGGTTATTCATATGTTTTTATATTTCTTTTTGTTTTTGGCTTAACATTTTTCATTTGTTTTTTGTTGTTTGTTTTCTAAGGCAACTTGTTTAAAGGCAACTTTAATATATTATTAAATGTTATTCGGGTTCATGAGCTCTTTGTCAAACGCCTTCCAAAAAAGTTTGAATATTAAAAAAAAAACAATGTAGATATGTGTTTGTTTTTGTTCTTGTCAGAGTTGAAATCAAACCAAATCAAATCAAATAAAAAAATAAAATATAAATTTAATATGTTGTTTTTTTTGTGATTTTTGCATTTAAAATTTATTTCATTTTAATTCATACATATGATAAACGCTCTTAAGTTTTTTATATTGGGAGGGGGGAAATTTCAATTATTTTCTTTTGGCTAACAAAACAAAATGTGTAAAACAAATCAAAGAAAACATAAGTTAACAATAGATAAATTTAAATTAAAATTATTATATAGCAATGCTTGGAGAGTCAATCATTATATAGGAGATTTGACTTAGTTAAACTATATAGAAATATATTTCACAAAAAGCAAATGGAAATTTTCTTTGCGTTTTTCATTTGCTGCAGATTTTTGAAATTATGAAAATTTTCATTTTTCAAAATATTTCATTTTTAATTTGTTTTACTTGTTCTTCTTCTTCCTTGTTGTGGCTGCATTCGTTTAACAATTATTTATAAACTTAACATAGAGCACAACTTAAAGCGTAAAATTAATATATATATTCATATATACATATGTACGTATGTATGCATATATGTGTTTATGTATGTATAGGACTATTAATATGTATGCGTTTAGTTTTCCTTTCGTTAGTTTAATTAATTAGCTTAATTAACTATCTTTGCACTTAAATAATTTTCAAAATTTTATGCCAAAAAACTCAATTTACAGTTACTACCATTTTTCTTAAAGATTTTGCAAATTTTGTTTCTTTCCTTATGACTCTGTACAATACGCTAAAAAAAACAATTTACTAATCCAACAATGCAATTTAAAATGTTGTGGGTGTGTGTGTGCGGAGTTTGATATTCCAATAATAAATCAAAGTCAAATTCAACTTATGCTTAAAATTTACACAATAACAACTTTTAAATCTCTACTGACAGGATCTTTGGTGCTGCTCATTGATCCACCCGTTAGACCCACGTTCAACATCATCTATACATTTAAGCATGACTCCACATATGCGTGTTTTTTTGTTTTTGTTTTCCTCTTTTTTTTTTCTTTTACTAAATTGTTGCCATCAGGTTGCGCCGTCTCAATCGTCTTCCGTCCAGCGTTTTTCTTGTCCTAGTTATAGTCAATATCTGTTGTCAGCTGCGCTGCTGCTGTCTTTGCCTTTGCCATTCCGTGCGCCGTGCACAGGCCGGCGTGAGCATCGCCTGCAGCAGCCGCCGCTCATCCTCTTCGATGACAGGCGCAGCTGTTGCCACCGGCTCGTCTTTCGTGTCCAACGTGGGTCATTCAAAGACATAACGCTGACGCAGCGCACGCGCTCGCTCTGGCTGCACGCGCGTGGGTGGCCGTGGTACCTTGGGCGGTCGCTTGACTCGGCGCAGCGCTGGCGGCCTTGGCCGCGGGAATATTAACGGTTTCTCATACGCCTCGTCCGGGCACTCCGCCTTAATGCTGAGCGAACAGTAGACGCGTCGCTCCTTCTTAAAGCGATGCTTGAGCACCTGTTGAACACCATTAAGCAGCAGACAGAAGTGACGCCAGCTGGCGCGTGATTTGCGCCATGTGCCCTTCGTCTTGCCAAAGCCACATAGATCATTCAGTGGACGCGGCGACTGACGATTGCTCGCAGGCAATGCACGTGGTTTTACAACTGGCAACACATCCACTACTGGCGGCAGGTGCTGCATCAGCAGATACAGGTCAGCCTTTGAGTCTTCTTCCGCCGGCGGCGTGCCAGCTGTTTGTCGTAGTTCGGTACGGCGCTGTTGACGAGTGCGTGGACGTTTATTGTCCTCCACAGGTAGGATCTTTGCAGGTGGCGCACGTGTTGGGAGTGCAACAGGTGGCAGCATAGGAGCTACTGGCTCTGGATGAGTAGTAACGCTACACTCTTGTGAATGTGGGAGCGGTAGCTCAGTGTAATACTCAGAGGGCAGTCGTAGTGGCGGCGCAAGTTCATCAAAGCCATGAAAATCGGTAAGTGCATCAAAGTCCGGATCATGCACGACCTGCATAACATCCTCGTTGGTCGTTGGCTCTACTAACAGCTCTTCAGCAAAGTTGCCACTGCTCGCTATGTCGACATTCACACCGACATCTGCGGATGACTTTTGTTGCATTGCCAGCAGCAATTGTTTTTGGTTTTCCAGCTTGATAGACAGTTCAACTGGCTGCTCCATAGTGTCTTCACTTAAGTCGACCAAAATCTGTTCAGGCGGTGCGATTATGTCTACATCAGGATCGTTGTTCTCTTGCATCCATTCACTCTCGAGTATGTCACTTAATAGAGGCCGTGTAGCCGGATTCCTTTCCAGGCACCAAGTAACCAACTGTTTAAACTCCGTACTGGCACATAGCCAGCGCTTGGAGCGCTGATTAAACGAATCCCGCTGGATTCGCTTTCGTAACTTGTGATGCACTTCAGGACTGTGATCGCAATCGCCCTGGTACTGCCGATAAGGCGCATGACCCACAAGCATTGTGTAGAGCGTCGCGCCAAGACCATAAACATCCACAGCTGGCGAGTAGGTAACTACGTTGGGATCCAGCAACAGTTCTGGTGGCGCATAGTCCAGCGTGTAGCGTGGCTTATCGCGCCAATTCTGGAATCGACTGTTGTAGCTGTAAAAAAGTTAATGCAAAGATTTAGATGTGAAGTCACAGCAAGCGTATTAGTCTTACCAGGCATTGCCAAAGTCCACCAGCTTGACGTCCAGGCTGTCACGGCTTACGAACACAATATTCTCTGGCTTGAGGTCGCCGTGTATGAAATGCTTGGAGTGCACATGCTGAATAGCTTGCACCAGCTGCAGAAAGATTCTGCGACAGCTATCTTCATCAAGCGTTCTGGTCTGTAGATAGTTGGCTAGCTCCTCGCCGCACAAATACTCCTGAATTATCCATACCTCACACTTGTCACGGAACGCGCCATGATAATTGACAATGCTGCGGTGGCAATGAGTGTCCAACGCACATGATGTGAGTGCATCCACTTCGGATGCTCGAAACTTTGATAACGGTATTACCTTTGCCATAAACACAATATCCGAAGCATCGACCACAAAGTAACAAGTGCCATAGGCACCCTTCACAGTGCGTGTGCCCAACTCTAGATCATCGGGTCGTGATGGTATGTTCTACAAGGCAATTCGATTAGATCAGATTGTTTTGAGAATATTTTGATAACTTACCTGTAGATCCGGATTGCAGTATTCAATTTGGCACATATTGTCGCGACGCATTTCCTCTAAATGCTCGGGTGCCACATAAGTGTAGCCGCGAAACAGCCGTATACGTGCGGGTGGTGCATCGCATTCGGGATCCTCTGGCAACTGGTCGGTAAACTCGTTGCTAAAGTTTTGCACGTCGTCCTCGGCGTTGAGCGTTGGCTTGTAGGGCGCTTTGCGACGCTTGCCGCGCAGCTCCTGCCAGTTAATACCATTGAAGAATGGATGTTCCTTGATTTCGCTGGCATCTCTATGATTGCCGCCCAATCGTCGTTTCGGATTCTTCTCCAACATTTTTAGTACGAAATCTCGAGCGTTTGCACTGAATGTGGAAGGAATCAATGGCTGTTCCTTTTGTATGCGACGTGAGATCTCCGATTGTTGACTCTGACCATCAGAGGTAGCAAATGGTGAGGCGCCCGTCAACAGCTCAAAAGTCAGGACACCCACCGACCACCAATCGACGGCACTGTCATGACCCGGAGGCCCAGTTCGTATTATCTCCGGCGCCATATATTCCAGTGTGCCACAGAAGCTGTGCGCACGATATTCATTTTCGGCGGTGAGTATTTTGGACAGGCCGAAATCGGATAGCACAATGTGACCGTCGCCATCCAATAAAATGTTCTCCAGTTTGATGTCCCGGTAAATAATGCCTAGCTGATGCAGCTGCTCCAACGCCAGTACCACCTCAGCGATATAAACACGCACGCGCGCCTCCTCGAAATGCTCCGCATGGTAGAGATGCGTAAACAGCTCTCCGCCATTAGCAAAGTCTACAAATGCAAACAACGTCAAGTTAAGACATCTATCGTGATTGTATATTTTGAAGCATATAAATCTTACCAAGCACTAGATAGAGTTTCGATGATGACTGGAAAGCATAGTGTAACCCAACCAGAAACGGACTCCGTTGCACTGCTTCGAGAACCTGAAAAATTTGAAGAGTTCTTAATTATTTAGAGTTAGCTATATACAATAATTATAGTTCGTTGGGATTTAGTAATGAAAAGTAACGATAGCAAGTCGATAACAGAGCGCAGAACACGGCATATCGATTATTTTTCACTTTGCTTTGAAGCTTATTTGCCTTGTCTTTCCGCTTACTGTTTTCTGTGCTTTGTTTATTTATTAATTTCGTACGGCTCTCGGAATTTCCCGTTTTTTGTTGTTGCTAGGCTGTGCGACTGAGGCGCTAACTGTACACAACAGCTGTTTGGGAATTTCCCCAACACGAATATCCCAAACATACCGCAAATGCCCCATAGTACCTCTATACGGGCACTCATCCAAACGTTTGCATGTGTGTATATATTAATAGTAGGTCTACTTTTTGTGCCTGCGTGAAAAGTGAAAATATATTTGTGTATAATTTAATTTCGTATTGAAATCATTTATTTCGTCTTTCTCTTTTTGCTCTCATAGACAATTGTCAAGCATCTTGTTGCATATACAACTTTCACATTTCACGATTTTATTCCTTTCCTTTTTTGGCAGAAACAACAACAATAGCAACAGCAACAAATAACGCAGGGCGGAGAGCGCTCTTAACGCAAGCAGGAAACTTATATACTACAGCCGGTAAATAGCCTACCTCCTACTCTCTCAATTACCCTCCCCATCTACAATTGAACTATGTCGTGATCTGGGTTAGTAGCACAAGCGTCATAGGCTTCGTTGTTGTTTGTGTACCTTGAAAAACAAGTACGTTATGTGAGTGTGCGTGTGCGTGTGTATGTATGCGTGTGCGTGTGTATGTATGCGTGTGCGTGTGTGTGTGTGTGCGTGTGCGTATCTGTGCGTATATCTCATAAAAACAACAAGCAAAACCATTGCACAATTTATAAATTGTTCGCAAAAAATTTCCCTTGTTGACTAGTTTATACTCTCTCTCTCTCGTTTTCTTTAGCCACCTACACCTGTTTGCAGTTATTTAACAAATCATGCACACATACGTAGCGGATCCGCTTGTTCTCTTTTAACTCTCTCAGCCCCACTATCGATGGCAATCCGTTAGCTTTTTGCCGGTGCAACAAGTTGAGCGAGCGCTGAGCAAGCTTATGATTGTATTTATGTATGTATGTGTTACAAGCACGTTTGGGGTTCTTACTACGCTTTTGGCTGTCGCCACTTTTTTTTTCTCTCTACCTTATTTTGTGTACGTGCAACAACTGAAGGTTTTTATTTCAATTAGCTTCGCTGATCATTTTGAAGAAAAACTTTGATTTGGACACGTTTCGCTTCTGTGTAAGGGCTCTTGTATTTTAAGTACTTGGCTTTTAATTTTTCTTCTATACGTTTTACTTACCACTCGCTCTGTTTTTGTGTGCTCTGCCGTTTTGCGCTTTTGCACAACGGTTATCTTATTGAGAACCTTCATCGCATACAGTTTGCCTGCATCGTGCCTGGTCAATTTGCGAACCAAGAAAACTCGTCCATACGCTAAAGAGAAACAAAGAAGAAACAATATCCTAATTCAATATATCTGGTGTCATTTCAATAGGTTCTTGCATGCTTACCGCCCGTGCCAAGAACGCGAATGATTTTAAAATCGTTTAAGCTCACGCGCTCATCGCTATAAAGTTTGACTGTAAAAGAAAAATGGAAATGCAGATTGATTAGCATAAGAAACGAGAGCATGTATAACTAAGAATAAGGCACAAAAGACAAAACAAAAAATACGAGCATACACTCATGGAAAAATGATAATGACTACACACACCCACACACACAGAAATATTGACTTTCATATAGACAGACATAAACAGATTGTATCGGAAACTATATGAACTACTTTATTATTTACCATGTAGTTGAAGCATGTTATTAGCATTATCTCAATTAAGTTTCTGAAGAGCACGTGCGACACTTGAGAATGCAGCTTATTTTACGCATAGCAAAATATTACTTGTCCACTGTGTTATCGCACTATGTACACACGTATGTATACTACAGACACATACACAAACGATTGTACTTGCATGAAAATGTCATAAGGACAACAACAACGAGCGTCGGGCGTTGTTGCAGCAGGTGGCTGACCCACTGAGAACATTGAACGGGTGTATAAAGAGAGCAAAAGAATTTACAGCAGCCAATCAAAGGCACTCTGCTAACCAACTCTCTCTGTCTCTCGCTTTGCTCAACCTCTCGATGCCTATAGCCAAACGGTTCATTGGCCCTGTCTCGCATTTTGGCAATTTACAGTTACACTGCTGTGTCCAGACGACATTCGCAAACAGGGCAAGGAATATTAAAAAAAAAAGAAGCAAATTGTGTGCAAATAAGCCTGAATATACATACATACGCATATCTAAGTACACTTATATTTAATCAAATTTCCCAAGTGACTAATTTGTATTTACGGCCTCCAAAAACCAACGTCTTTTACTCTATCACGCTCTCTGTTTTTTGCACAGCGAACGATTGCCAAATGAACACAGCATTTGTCAAACAAACTGTAGAGAAGAGAAAAGAAGTGAGCGCTAGCAGCAATTGACAGATACAGAGCGAGTTGAATGCCATTGCTGGACATTTGTCCTTGAACCTGTGGCCTTTCTTTGCTGTGTGTTCGACTATGCGTGCCAATTTCATTGTTGCTGTTAGTCATTTCAAAGGAAATAATTAAAAATACTTATGAAATTAACGATGTCATCGTGAGTAAGACGTGAGAAAAGAATCTCGAAATATGACGATTTATTTTCGTGCATTCAACTTTTTATACCCTGATCCCATTAAAAATGGGAAATCAGGGTATAATGGTTTTGTGCAAATGTATGTAACAGGCAGAAGGAGGCGTGGCAGACCCCATAAAGTATATATATTCTTGATCAGGACGACAAGCCGAGTCGATTGAGCCCTGTCCGTCTGTCTGTCCGTCCGTCTGTCCGTCTGTCCGTCTGTCCGTCTGTCCGTCTGTCCGTATGTGTGAACGCGTGGATCTCAGCATCTATAAGAGCTAGAGACTTGAAATTTTTTTTGTAGGTCCGTGTATAGCACGCGCAGGTCAAGTTTGTTTCAAATATTCGATAACTATTCGCATTTAATTGTTATCGAATAAAAACATTATTGAAATGCAGTAAATAAATTATATCTCGAAAGTCTTAAGAGCTAGAGCCTCCAAATTTTGTATTTAGTCTTATGTATATTTTATGCAATTTTGATTTTTGTTGGATTTTGGATACCGGCTCCAAATTCCCCCAAATTCTTAGAATTTAAGTTTAGTTGGAGCTAGGGCCATTATGTGAAGGCGTTTGCATCTCAACCAAGCCAATAGGATATGTAGATCATATGCTGAAAGTTTCATTAAAATCCATTAAGTAAAACAGAAGTTATTAAACAAAACGTTTGGCCAATTTGCAAAAGCACATGTCAGCAGCGCCACGCGCACGCATTTTTCCTATGCGTGTGCACACATACATTCAAATGCGTGCATTCTTTTCTATTCCAAGAATTGAAATTGCGATTGAATTGTGCTGAATTATTAGCTGCTACTTATGTTCAAATTTGCAACAACTCGCGAAAGAAGGGCAGTGGCTGCGTTGGTATAGGCGCCGCTCGTATGCAGCTTGGTCCGGGTTCGAGACCAGAGGAGATGAAATGTTTTTTATTGTTTTATTTTTTTTTTTTAGTTATGAAGTGGCGGTGTTGGTAGAGTTTGTGCACGTTGCGCAAATAATCCGGGTTCGAATCCTGGTCTCGCAATGTCGATTTTTATTTGTTTTCTTTTTTTTTTAATTCTCGATACAAACTACGGAAAATATTACAAAACTCAAAGGACTAGGATCAGGGTATCTCCTAGTCGGGCACCCCGAGTAGAGCTTTCTTACTTGTTTTTACTTCTATCTTTAATCGAAATTGCAACTTGCGAAATATTCTGAGTGCATTGACATAAGCTCATAAGGTTAATGAAACTACCTTGCTAATTTGTAATTATTGTTATTGCCTCAATAAACCAGATACATAATATTTAGATTTAATTTGCCTGCTTCTAATACGTCCAGAAAAGTTGCATATTTCCATTTGTTTTTGACAGGAAGGTGCAACGAACTGAAGTTCTCTGTGAAGGTGGCGGAGCCCGTTAAAATCACTTCAACAAAATGTTTTTGGCTAGCAAAGGTATTGATCCAACAAACCCAGTTGCGTGTGACTGGAAATCTAAGCGAAACTAAAGAAACACTATATTTTTAATACAAACAAAACCTTAAATACTATTTATATTTTTGAAAAACAACAATATGCATGGGAGCTAGCTATGATAACCACTTTTGCCAACAGCATGTAATTATTTAATAATTGACTGCAAATACTAATCAGCTATTATTGCATACTTAGCAATACTCACGCTTTTCATCAGTAAATTTAATAATTGTTTTTATTAATACACTTTATTTTTAAACCGCAAAAAATTCAACAAGCGCTTTTTAGCCTTGAGTGATATCTGTGTACATACAAACATGAATGCTCATATATACACCCATTTGCATGTATTTTCATAGCAGGCTTTTAAACTGTTTAACCTCAATGTGGTTTCTGTTGCTTTGTTTTTCTTCTTTTTTTTGACTAGCAAAAGTTTAATGATCGCGAAAAATGAGAAAATAAAATATTTTTTGAATATATGATAAACAGCTGCAAATTCATTAAGAGCGAATAAGTGTCCTAGTCTTGAAATAATCATTTCATTAAATCCAAAAAAAAAGATTCATGTTATTAACATGCATATCTGACAGATTCATGTAAAAGAGCTGTTAACGCCGTTAAAAAAGTTTGTTTGATGGAACTTTGTCAAAAATCGGTGCTGTACACGACAGCAAGCCTACAGCTGTCTTCGTACAATCTCGCACGCACACGTACATGCACACGTAACAACTGTTATGATGAGCATGATTGTGCTCTACAGTGAGAGAACTGACACACGATCTGTCGACTGCCGCATGCACGACATATTGCACAGGTCACACAGATTCTCTTCGATTTGACAAGTACCAAGTTTCTACGTATGATCAAAGATAAATAACAACTACCAATTAGCCAAAAAGGTTAACACGTTTTACATAAATGTGTGTATACATGCATACATATGAAATTGTTATTGGAATACTTGCATTGTCAAGTTCAAGTAAATCTATTGCTGACATACTCTTGCCTATGCACACACAGACAAGCCTAAATATATGCATACATATGTACGTATGCAAACAGCCAACGTCACATATTAGCTTCGGTTGTTATTCGTTGTGTGGTGAGTTCAGGTGAATTTAGTTTTGGGGTGAATTGCAATGGGAGAACGTCACAAACACCCAAATAAAACCATTCATACTGTCTGTATATCGGTACGTATCTATGTGTAGGCAACTGTGTCAAGGTTGAATGCATGTGCCCCACTTTAAAAGGATTGAGAGAAGACGAGGTCGACGTCATTGCCGATGTCGCTGCATTGACCAGGCCAGAGTAACACCATAACTCCCCCAAATCATGTGCAGAGACCAGTCTAGACTGAAAACTATTTACTCACCATAAGAACGCAGGTCGGTCACGATCTCCAAATCCCGCTGATGCGCCTCATTTTCCAGATCCAATGGTGTGCTGTTGCTTGTAGGCATTGTATATGTTGTGGGTGTTGTGGCGGCTGCTGCCGCCGCCGCTGCTGCTGCTGCTGCAGCCGCTGCCGCCGCCGCATTGTTCTTATTGTGTTGTAGTTTGCTATTGCTAGTGGTGGGCGATTCATCGATTTCCAGGTCGCTATCCTCCTCCGTTTCGTGGTCGTAGTATTCGATGCATTCATTCTCCTCGCTCTCCGCATCCGAAATACAAACAATATCCGCCACTGTATTTTGGGCCGGTGGCGAGGCCGGGGAGGCTGGTGAGGGCGGCGTTGGTATGGTGGATATGTTATTACGGTAACTGTATTCCATTGGTGTATTTGTTGTTGCATTGGTATTTACGGTCTGCTTCTTTTTCTTGTTGCTGTAAGTGTTGTATTGCTTGCCATTCGTGTTGCTTACATTGTTATTCTGCTTCTTATTGTTGTTGTTATTATTGTTGTTATTATGATTAACAGCTTTGCCATTGTTGTTGTGCCGTTGCCCACTGGAGGACCCCGAGCTGCTGCTCGTTGTCTCCATGGCATTGTGTGAATGCTTCAGTTTGACATTTTTGCTACTGGTTCCATTTGTCAACTGTTGCAAAGGCTCATCATCGCTTTGACGTCGTCGTTTATTTGTCGTCGTCGACTTACTATTTCCATTTGCCGATATCGTGTGCCCATTGATGAGCTGTGCTGGCCGCACCATTTGAATATCTTCGAGCGCTCTCGGAGGCGGCTGTTTACGTCTGTTCTTAGCGCCACTTGTGCTGCTGCTCACTATTTCACACTGGTTGCGATGTTGATGTTGTTGTGATTGTTGTTTTTGTAGGCGACTCATTTTGAGTGAAGGGAGCGCTTCGCCCTCCAAATTGTGGATGCTACTTGCAATAACTGTTTAGGGCGATTTGTAGCAGCAGCTGATTATCATATTGCTTAAGAAGCGAAAGAGAGGGAACTGCTGAGTGCAAGCGAATATTATTACGCTCGTTCTCTCCGTCTCTCTCTTGCTCTTGCGAGCCAGTCAGTCAACAATATGGTACAGTTTGGACTAGAGATGGGCGCGTGTCAACTCAAATTTGAAACACGAACAGAATTTTTGATTTTTTTGTATCGATTTGAGTAATTTAATGAGCTAAGTTCACTAGATTTTAATTTGCTTTGTGTAGCACAATACATAAATATAATGCAAAATGTAACTTTGTTTAAATAATTTCATTGGGTTTTATTGTATTTTGTTACGTACACATTTATCACGCGCGCATCTCTAGTACAGTTTGAACACAAGCTCCGACTAAAAACTCTAAAGAATTACAACTCACCTCAGAGTAACAAAAGGCGCAAATATGTCGGCAACATCCACTAAGCACAATTATATTTGCACTTGTTTAGAAATTTTCGATGCCAATACTTTTTTTTCAAATATGTATACGTTGCTCTTGGATGTATTTATATTTTTTGTTTAGGAGTTTTAAAGCCCTGGCTTATATATTATTTAACCATTTGTTAATACAAATTTGAGATAATCACAAATTTCATCAATTGCGTTTTGTGCCTGCCCTTCGTATGCACTATTTTTCTTTTGCCTTTTTACTGTGTGCCTTTCTTATTACGCTCGTACACACACTCGCACGTACAAAAGCACGCAGGCGTTTTTCGGCTACGTTTCACGGCTGTTTTGTTTTGACTTGCAGATTCTACTGTGCAATAGGCCTAACTTATTACAAATTTTTCAAACAATGAAATCGTTTTTAGCGAAGTAAAGAATGAGATTATTTTTTAATATAGATATATGTATAATACGTGTGGATTTTTACAAGTTTTTACCGCCGCTTTCTACTTCACATACACACACGCACACAAAACCAACACCAATGCGGCGCGACGCTCTTTGCCATCTGCTTTGCGCTCTCATTCTTTGCCACTTATTTGCTGTTGCATCGACAATAAAGCACAAGTTTATAATAATTTATTAAATAAATTTCAGCCTGCATTTTTCACAAACGACTGTAACTGCAGATGACTAAAATTAAATTTTTATATTTATTTATTAACTCATTGGGATCTTTGGTAATTTCGATAATTTCCCGACAGCGCGACCGAACACATTGAAGTTATTTATAAAATGAAATGGTATGCGCTATAATCGATATGCATCTACGGTTGCTTTATATCGATACCATAACTTGGCCAATTAGGAATGATCACATAATTAATAGCTGTTTTGTGCAATATAAAAAAGGAATAGTCAAAATTATATGGATCCGAATTTATAGTATAATTTTGTTCTTATTTGATCAAAGTATATTCATTAATAAACTTACACCGATAGATGGGGTCATTCCGTGACCATTCGCAGTAAATGATAAGGCAGCTGAGAAATAACACTTACCAACGTTCCCAACGTTAATCGACAATCCGCCATACTCAGCAGTGTGTTGCTGTTCTTATTAAAATTAACAATGTACTGAAATGTTTTTGAATTTGTTTACTGTAATTTTTCAAAAATCTTTTTGCATAAAATAATTAATATTTAACCATGATGTCTTGTAGTCTTTTGCGTTCCAAATCCGGCACACTGCAATCGTCCGTCGCATAACCTACAGCAAGTAGAATTAACAATTTTTCGTTATTTGGCCGATCGAGTAAGCGTCTTAAAGCAGGGCCACAATTAAGAGGCGTGGTGACCAGCGAGCAAAGCCCAGCTGCTTGGAGAGCACACAATAGTATTCCGGTGGCAATGGACGTTGATATCTCATTATAGTAATGCAGTTTCTTGCGTCCGTCGACTGTTGTGCCATGCGTTTGCTTAAATATTAGAATCAGATAGGGCGCATCCGTGAGATATGGCTTGATTGCGGTTGTGCGCAAAGGCCGCAGGTCCGTCACCCACTGTGCGTGCATTCGTGTGCTGTAGTTTATATGCTCCTCACGCTCGACAATCTCCCGCACAGCCTGCTTCACACCCATCTCTTCCACCAAACAAAACGTCCAAGGCTCGGTGTGTGCACCACTCGGTGCCGTTCCCGCAGCACGTATGCAATATTCTATTACATCTATAGATGGTTTACAATTGGCTTTAAACGAACGAACACTGCGACGATCCATCATCAGCTCATAGAAACGCATGGCACCATTTGGGTTGAGATTCCGCCCAGGAACATATGGCACATGTAGTTTCTCCTCCAAAGCAGGCAAGATGTCACCATCAGTCGTTGTGAATTCGACTAGAAGAAAGAAGATTAGATTGTTTGACTTCAGATCTTTCGTATAAATGTATCTTTATCTCGTGTAAATACCTGCAATATGCTCTTCCCCCGATAACTTTTCCGATCGTCGCATTCGGCAGATTTTGATGTACTTAATAGCCATTGCGATGAGAAAACCAAATAGAATGCTTGGCCAATGCTTGAACAACTTTGAGCTGCTCAATAATGCTTCCATCTTGGATTACAGCTGCTGGAAAACTGCGGTGCGATAAGCAAAACAGCAGAAGCTCTCGCTTATCTAATAAAACTTGGCCATGGCCAAATCGAGCAGTTGACCGACTGATAAGAGTGTTTAACTTGCGATTCTAGTGAGCGCTTCAATTCGCACAGTATGGGCAGCTGCTGCTCATGTTTCGCATGTTACTATTGTTAACCCTAATATTATAATAGGTCTCGATGTCGGTTTTACGGTTTGTACCTTGCGACGGATCACCCTTTTTGTAGATCATTTGTCGCTTGTTTACCTCGCGCAAAATCTCGATAATACGCCACTTGGCATCGAAGTAAATGCAATCTGGAGCTGAGCTGAGCTCCGCTTTAATCATTTCGCACAGCATTTCCAGCTGATGTCCATTGTTTCTAGACGATCCAGCGCGCTGCTCTTGCCTGCTTCGTGGCTCACATATGCGTTGATTTCCATTATGTTGAGCTTGGTTTGGCCTGTTTGTAAGGGCTATGCATTTGGATTGGTCAAATCTACTCGAGAGACGGGAACTTTGCTGTCCACGGCTCAGAGCTTTCTGTAGTGCTGATTCCGAAGTTTGTATTTGAACATGTGCTTGCTGCTTATCAGCAGAAGTTTGGGTTTGATATTCCGATTTCAAATCCTGGTTATCTAAATCCACATCATTCTTCGAGTTGGCTACCGTTGGTCCACCTGCATTTGATTTATCTCTCCCTAATGTATCCGTATCTTTTTGCAATTCCGATTTAATTTTCGACTCATCCGTCCTTAAAGGTTCCGTATCATTTAGCGATTGATCATTCCTTAGTGATTCCGTATCGTTTCTCGATTTAGCATTCTGCTCTGGTTCAGTATCTTCTATCGATTTAGCATAGTTGTTCGGTTTCTTGTCTAATAGCTTTGCGTTTTCCTCAATTTTCGACTTGTGGTCGAGTGACTTTTTTTTCTTGCCGAAATTTTTATGTTTACTATTTGATAATGGGTTTTTTATTATATTTCTTGACGTCAACCCCACAAATTGGGTTCCAGGCAAATGTGAAACGCATTGATTTTGAAAAGTCGCGGTGCTGTACTTCACCAGACCATTAGCGCCTAATGATTTGTCTGAAGTATAGTGTGTATTGCTGCATTGACTGCTAAATGTAGACACATCAATGTGTGTCGGTTCTTCCTGTGATCGCTCCTCTGCCTCTTCCGTTGTCTTTTCCATGCTGATAAAAGGAACTAGAAATAGAAACTCATTATAGTATGCAAAAGTGGGCGTCAAATTGCATCCATCGCTGAGACGAGCATTCTGAATTAAGGCGTATTCATGTTCAAATTCCGCGCGCAGCTCTATTAGCGTAGCTTGGATGTCTGGACCCGTTTTGTTGGTAAAGGAGCGTGCCATATCCGAATAGTATATATTATCGATTTGCTTGTTGCCATATTGCGAGTTGTTGCAATTGTACAGATTTTCGTATTTCGAATATAGGCCAATCAATCGACGTATGTCTTCGTCCTCTAGGGGAGTATTGGCCTTATCATTTTGCTTTTTATTTGACAGTCCTTTTGATTTATTGCTAGAGCCAAATGGCAGTATTTTAAAAAGGCTGCGAAAACCCTTAGATTTTAGATTAGATTGGTTTTCGGCACTATTCTTTATAGGCTCCGTGGCTCCACTATCACAACTAGGCCCAGATATTACTTTATTCGACTTCGACATTGTTGGCGGTTCCTGTGTCTTCGATTCGGAATCGGAACACTTGAAAGAGCTGTGTTTGTGTTTTTGTTCCATTCTCTGCAATTTGGCGCTTTAGCAGATAGATATTTGAGTTCGAGTCAAGTTTGGGAACAAAATCATTTAACGGCAGCAGCATTATTAATTTGACAAATTTGGTAACATAATCTAAAATAAAATTAACAAATAAATTCAAAACCCGGACTGGTTTCAAATGTATTTTGACTGTTCATATATTAGAATTTATCGACAATTATTTCAATGCAACTCTAATAAGTGTTTTTGCAGCAACACCTTGGTAAAAGGCATTAACAATATATAATTGACAATATTTAACATAAAAATATTTATTTATTTATGAACGTTTTTTTTTGCATTCGCATTCATATATTCTGCATCATTTAAAATTTTAAATATGGGTTGGGGATTTAAAATGTATGACTTCTGTTAAGTCAACTGTTAAGTAACAGCTGTCTGCCATCCGAATCTGTAAACAGGCCATGGAGCAACAACAAACCAACAAAAACAAGTTACGTGAAATATAAATGGAATAATAAGCAAAAAAGTATATGACATGGCCAGCCGCGCGATTACAAAAGCACAGAATTTGTTCTAGTCGTACAGTCATCGTCAATTAAACTCATTATTTAATTGAAATCCAGAGCTGGATATGTATTTGGCATTGCGAGTTTAGCATGTGACGTTCCTCGTAGCAACAACCATGTATTAATTGCTGTCAAATCTAGCCGGGGGATGGTAATTAAATGTTACAGTTCCAGTTTAAATTTATTAAATTCGAAATATAAAAATAATATATATAAAACACGCGCTTGGCCATTTCGTAAATACGTGCACATTCAATCTAACGTATACCAACACTTACACACATACATAAAAAGTGCAATAAATCAATGCCCAGCAGAGGGAAGGCGGAAGTGACCAAAACAGAAACAACAACAAAGAGCCAAAGACTGAACAGCCTTCTGTAACGGGATATTGGCGGAAGTAACAATAAAAGTAAAATAACTTTGCTTTACATTTCACGTTGGTTTATTACATTGAACGACGAAAAATGGATGAAGTGTTCTCACTGCATATGGAAAAGCTCGACGTCTATGACGGTTAGTGAGGGGAATTGCTTAAAAATATGTAAATAATATTAAGTAAATAAGGATTAATTCTTCATTAGTCATTTTGGTTGAGTGTTGCTGTCAAATCGTCATCGTCTTCGTCTGAGGATTTTAAAATTTTATCGATTAGCTGATCCTGCTCTTTGTTCTTTTTGCCTTGTATGATCATAACCCTTAGAAAATGGATGTGTTTCTTTTCGGATTCAATTCTTTCTTCCAGCTTTAAATTCTCATTTTTTAATTTATCAATTCGCCCTTTGCGTTCCTCGGCAGTTTTCTTTGTTTTTTCACGCGTGCGCTGCACTGCCTAGAATATAGAATCGCAGATATTAAACAGAGTGTAACAATTTGTGAGATGCTATTTTGGGGGTCGCACATCTAGGCTAGCAACATTATTGTACATTTTATTTACATTTACCTCGTTATTCTTCTTTCTTTTCATCTTGTACGCGTGATCTTCCATCTGTGGACTTGTCGCGCTGCCATTGCTGGTCGCCGCTTTTGCAGTGCTTCTCCTTGCTGGCATTCTCTCGGTGATAATATTAATTTGTATTTAGTTAAATGCTGCTTCTTTTTACTATCTAAAAAATGTAGCCAGCAAACAATAGCAAGTCGTTGTGAAATTACAGCGCGAATGATGTACCAAAGCGTAATTGTAAAACATATGTGCCCTATCGGAGCAAGTGTTGTAAAACGAGCAGCTGTTATTGTCCATAAAATCAACTAGAGATGCGGTATTATACAATTAATTTTTTCGACTTGAGTAAGCTATAGAGAAATTATAACATGTAGCAGGATTTCTACAATAGGAAATTAAATTAATAATTACGTCCCTGAAACATTTATTGTTTTGCTCACAACATGGTATTATTTTTGCCGATACGCGTAAAAAACACAACTATAAGTTAATACAATTTGTTTGTAAAGACTGATTTCTTGTATGTAGGTAATTAAGATTAAATTGGAACGTAATAAATTTTAAAGTGAAAACAAAACCCATGTAAATGATGTGAAATGTGCTACGTATGATTAAATAAATGTTTTTAAAAATGTAGCTAGTGCGTTTTCCTAAGTCATTTATTTTTATCGATAGTCACGACTGATTCACGTTTAGCAACACTTGTAAAGATTTTTTAGCTACCGGCTTGAAAAATGTCTTCGCCTGCACCTCCAAAGTCACCTGAATTGTCAGATAAAAGCAAAAAATATGATAGACAAATCAGGTAAATATGTTAAAGTGCAAAACTAAGTGATTACTGTAACATGCCACCAACAGGTTGTGGGGCGATCACGGGCAGACATTACTAGAGGCGGCCACAATATGCGTGGTCAACGTGACGGCCGTTGGTTGTGAGACAGCAAAGGGGCTCGTGTTGCCGGGCATTGGAGGCTTCACTGTCGCTGACGGCAGCACAGTTAAGGAAGAGGACTTGGGCAACAAGTAAGGCAACGATAAATTGTAATTATTCGTAGTATTTAAAAGCTGGAGAATAGCTTTTTTCTAGATAATAGCTACCTGGGTAAATCGAAGGCACTTGCTTGCAAACAGCTGTTGCAGGAGCTCAATCCGGATGTCATTGGCGATTATGTTGACGAGAGTGTTGACTATATCTTGGCAAACCGTCCAAATTTCTTTGACAGTTTTGATTTGGTGATTGCGTCGAATCTGAACGAACAGTCACTCCTTCAGCTGGCAAACCGATTATGGGAGTCTAATGTACCACTTGTCTACTGTCGCTCACTTGGCATGCTGGGCTCTATACGCCTGCAAATTAAGGAGCACTGCGTTATAGAAGCTCATCCCGATAATCGTCAGTTTGATTTGCGTCTGGAGCAGCCATTTCAAGCATTACGTGATCATTTGGAATCAACAGAGATTACGAGTAAGGTACCCTGGCTTCTAGTGCTCTACAAATACCTGAAAATTTGGCAGAAAGACCATGGAGCTGGTCGGTTAGCGCCTGGCAACTACAAGGAAAAGAGTCAACTGCGCGAGACAATCAGAAAAGAAATGCAGAAGGATGAGGAGAACTATGAGGAGGCTATTAAGGCAGTTAACACTGCATTTGGCGCTGGAATGGTGCCAAGCGCCCTCAAGGCCATATTCGAGGACGATGCCTGTTTGAATTTACAAAAAAAAGTAAGTCACCTAATCTGCATGGCGTACAGCAAATAACAATTGTTTTTTTATCGTAACAGAACGATGTCTTTTGGATCATGGCCAAGGCACTTAAGCATTTTGTAGTAGAAGAAAATAAGGGTTATCTACCGCTACCAGGCGTACTGCCCGATATGACAGCCAACACAGACTCGTATATAGCACTGCAGCAAATCTATCACCAACAGTCGCTGCATGATGCCGATCAGGTGTATCACAAATGCCAAGATTATCTGAAGCAGTTGTCTCTGCCAGCGGATAGCATAGATGATCGCACTGTGCGTTTGCTATGTCGTGAGGCAGCCGGATTGTCTGTGCTGCGCGGCACACGCATTGCCGATGAGTATGAGAAAAACTGTCGACTGCTACCGTTGGGTAGGTGATTATATAGTAAAAACAATGATTCCTTTCCTATTGTATTGTATTACTTTGCAGTGGAAGATAATGAGCTACAGGGCACCTTAACAGCTTTTAATTTCGCTCTACGTGCATATGAGCGTTTCCTAAGCGAATGCGGCAGCATACCTGGTGAGTGCTCTGTGGAACAGGACATCGTGCGTCTTAAGAGCATCACCAGCAAAATGCTTAACGACTTGGGCTTACATGTGACCATCAGCGATGATGTTTTGCACGAGATATGCCGCTACGGCGGCGCCGAGTTGCATGCTGTGTCCGCTTTTATTGGTAAATCTGTGATGCATTTAATATATTCAATTTATTAATTACCTTTTTGTGCTTGCAGGAGGCTGTGCTGCGCAGGAGGTGATCAAGATAATTACCAAACAATATAAACCAATCGATAATACATTTATCTATAATGCTATTAGCACTGAAAGTGTTACGTTAAAGTTGTAAAGCAATTCCTTAAAATGGATGAGATTTTAAAATTAAATTCAAAAACTTACCGCATTTGAATTTAAAATAAGAAACTTGTTTCGTTTTTTATCATTGTGTAATTTTATATTTATTAATCATATATCGGCTTATGTTCTAGATATTGTAAGCATTAAATTACACACGTTTATGCTGTGGTATCCTTTGAATAGTACTATGTGTGTATGGGTATCAGGACAATATGCACGTACTTTATTTATAGTTGAACAGACCACATTCCTTTTGCATTAATCATGTTATCTTACATTCCTGTATTTATTTATTTCTGTTTATGTTTTTTGCTTGTATTTTTTCATATGCGATTTCGAAATTCGTTGGCATCATTTGCGCCACACGCAAATCGTGACTTACATAGTAACATTAAGTTTATGTGTGCTTTTACATGTACAAATCGAACGAATAGCAAAAGAATAAATGAATACATTATATCATTTTAATAGGCATTCACTTATAGTATACTTGCTTATAACAACAATTCAGTTTATTTATTTGAACTTATTTCGTTTTAATTTAAACTTAGTTTTTAGTTATTTCTAATAACTTCTCGCTATGTGTCTGTCTATCCAAAATCTTTACAATTAATTAACAAAAATGTACACAAGAAGACTACCAGGAGAACAATTTATGCCTATATCATATTTATTCATTTATTTATATATATATATATGTGTGTATATATGTCTAGTTAGGCGTCTTTGTTAACTTTACCTGGATGTAAAAACTGTTGTGCTGGCGATCCATCGCAGCAGCAGTAGGAAATACAGTCCAATTATATATTGCCAGTTGGCATGGCCACCAGCTGCACCACCATGATGCAGCTCAGCGAAACTTTCGCCTAAATGCAGTGAAAGTATATCAAATATTTTGCATAGTTTTATAGATATCAATGCTTACCATTTAGTATATGCACTACTATCGTGAAATTTTGATATTCGCTTATGGAACAGGTATAATTCCCGGAATCAGCTTTATGAATCTTAGCAATGGATAAAGTGGAATTCGCACCATCTTCCATCAGTTCGGTTTTAACACTAGGAATAAATGAATTGTTCATATGAGTGCAACTTCGGATATATTGAACCTACCTAACGCCGCCTCGCGTTACATCATAGTTGAGCACATTTTCGCTATGCTTCCAATAAACAACGGCGCTGGTCATAGCCACATTCCGCACCACACAGGACAGCTGCAACGTGGAATCGATTTCATAGTATTTCTCCTGCAGCGGATCGCCGTACTCATCCACAATCATCACCTTTGGAGCTGTGAAGCAAGTAAATAGACTTGAGTGAAGCATAATTTCACTTCTTCGTATCACTTACCATTCACATGCAAATTAATTTGGATAACGCGGGGCGGATGCGTTGAGATCTGACATTCATAGGTCGCCTCATCGTCTTTTTTAACATTTATGATTTTCAGTCGCCAATTGTTGGGATATTGAAACTCCATTTTGTAGCGCTTATCCCCGGTGTAGGCGTGCAGACCCACAGTTAATAAGTCCAAAGCATTCTCCTCATTTTGCGCACTGCGACGCACCCAGGAGACCTGTGAATAGCATTAACAATGTAGCGGTCGGTTGGTTTTTACTAATAATGGAATTTATACTACGGTTTTTTTGTCTAATTACTACAGCTGTCTTGCATTTATGAGTATCGCATAGAAGGGCATAATATGGATTAAATTATGAAAATCGTGTAGAAACTAAACTCCTTTGTTCTTTCTATATCTGTCTCTCTCTCTGCATATCTTTCAATCTATCTTCCTTTCTCTTTCTAAATTCCTTCACCTTTTCTCGCTGTCTCTCTCTTACTATAACCCTCTTCCCGTTTCTCCCTCTCCAACTCCCACTCCCCCCTTCTCTTTCTCTTTCTTTCTGTCTCACCGTTCTGCGCCATAAGGCGCCATCTCCTCAGTATATTCGTTCTTTTTCCCGTCTGTTTCCCTCACCCATTTCATAATTTATATCTACTGCCTTTCTATGCGATTTTCACGTAACCAAGCAATAGCTCCTACAACTATTTAAGCTTCAGTAGCTGCAAGTTTTTTAATACATTTTCGTATGTCGTCATAAATTTCTGAGCAGCACTCCTCGATTTGACATATCTCAGAGCCTTAAGCCTGTTTCATAAAGCCAGACGAGTTTATAGTAAGTAGCTATGCTTACAGTCTTATCTTGCAGCAATGAAATTCTGCAATTTAAATGAATGCTGCTACCCGCCTGAACAGTCATATTTGTTGGTTGTCCAACGCGCTGCACGTCCTCAAAATGGGGCCCATATCTGTAAGGAAAGCGAGCATGTGAGATGTAAGTAAAAGGCAAACATGTATTCGTATATATATATGTATATATAGTATGCATTTTTATTGGTCAGCAGGTGTGTGTAAGTAAGCCTACACACACATGCTCCTTATACTTAATGTTTATTGCTTGTAGCAAAAGTCTTAAAAACTTAAGTTTTCAAAATGTTTTACACAGCAAACGACCTTCATTCAGTAAACTGTTCGGGGGTGGTGGGCTTGGTTTACCGTTCACTTTTTAGAGAGGGCTCGCCACAAGTATATGGTTGAATTGCATAAAGTCTATTTACAAACTATTATGAAAATTATAGATTTGCTGTGTAATTATAGTAGCCTATAAAAACTGTATTCCTATAATAGAAAAGGCTTTTAATAGGGCTCAACAATGAGTGAAGTATACGATGTTCCTAAATGATACAAATGAATTGCCTAAATTATATGCTATCTATTTCAAAGAAACTGAAGGAAATAAAGAAAGTTTTTTAATTGGATTTGATTTAGAGTCGAATATCTGAAATATGTATTTCATAATGCAGAATGAGAATTTAAAATGAATTTCGTTTACTTCAGAAGAATTATTAAAGCTTGACACGATACAAAACCCTTAATAAAGTCTCTGTTGTTAGGGTTTCATGTAAGACTTCAATAAGTTCCTAAACAAAAAACAAAAAGCCAAAGTAAAGACTAGAAAAAAATAAATGATAATAAAAAACATCAACGAGCTCTTAAAATATTTTAAAAAAGTTTCCAGACTTAAAAAACTTTAGGAACATTCGGAAACCCACCTCTGATCGTGATGATGATGTTTGTTGGCGGCAGAGAAGGTATCGAAGATATAGTTGAGCATTGGTGCATCGGTTTTCTGCGGCTTGGGCAGTATGTATTTGCTCTCCACCTTCTTGGCTGAGGTGCGTACATGGGTCTTGTTCGCTGCGGATGCTGTGGCTAGGGTTGGCGCTATCAAGGACCCATTGGCAGCGACCTGTTGGCTGTCGGTGTTAGCTGCTGTTGTTGGTGCTGCTGTTGCTGGGGCATTTCCATTGACGCGCTGTGAGCCAATTTGTTGAAACGTGGCACCACCAGTTGTGGCGCCACCGATGCTGATGGCGTTCTTCAGACTTGATGCGTTCTTTTCGCGCTGCACAGTAACGGCAGTTGGGGCTCTGGCCGTTGATGTTTGGTGCGAACTAAGCTGCGATAAGGACAATAAATCTTGTGTTTTTGCATTCATTAGTTGTCTGCCAATGGATGCTGCGGCCGGCGTGGCTGCCGTTGCTGGCTCTGCTCCCGCATTTTTCTCATTCGTCGGCTCTGTCTGCGACTCCTGCCCCTGGCCCTGCCCCTGTCCCTGTTCCATGGCCATGACGTAATCCTCGGCCGACTTTTCAACGTCATCAGCATCGGCATCAAAGCCAATACCAGCCTCGACAGCAGCTGCTCCCGCAGCGGCATAGGAATTATCGATTTCATTGGAATCTATGTCGCATAATGAAAGACAAGCAAAATTGAGTTTAAGGACATTTGGCCAACTAGTTAGATGAACAAATTACACGCTCTGTTGTGACAGCTTTAAGCCATATTTCATGTTGAGTGTATTGAGTGGGGAAGGTTAGCTGAGATTCAATAATGTATCTATATACTTCTATGGATCTGTTAAGTCGAATGTATTTGTATTGTCTATATGGAATATTTGTAAAGTTTTCTAAAGGAATCATGACAGAAATTCTAACTATTTATCTATATCTAGCATATATGTATCTGTAGAAAAAATCTTTCCATATACAGATTCTATGCTGTTCTTCTTTTAATCTCTCATAGTCTATTTTATTCTATTCATATTCCTATTCCTATTCTACCTATTTCTAGTTCCATTTATACATTAGTCTTCCTTCGTTTCTATTTTAGTCTAGTCCATCTTGGAACCATATCTATAGATCTCGTAACATATGATCTTTATATGATCTATATAACATTTGAGCTCGCATTAGGCATATAGTTTGATTGATTGATCAAAGTGTAGTCTGATAGCTCTCTTCATAAAGAACGATTTAATCAGTTCTAAAGAGTATTTTATTCAATGAACATTTTTAAAATGAGAGCTAAGGTTTTTCGTAATTATAGCTCGTCTCCTTTTCAACTTCCTTTCTCTTTCTTTCAGAACTTTCAAGGAAAGCTCTATAACTCTCAGCAATTTGCAATTTGCTTCTATTGAGGGTATTTAGTTTTCGTCACGCCCACTCATATCTTTGTTTCTTCATCTAACTGCGACTTGATTAATATGTTGTAATAAAGTTTCAGCATTGGCGGGAACGTTTTGTTCTTTTCTTTTATTTTTCTCCGCTTTTCCGACGCGGGGGTCAACTGTGTTCGTGTTAGGTTAAAGCTGCCAACGATTTCGAGCATTTCGTAAGCTTTTCAAAAAATTACTTTAGAGATTAATGAGTCTATAAATAACAGGCTACACGTCAATGATCTTGCTTTAGTTCGTTCTTCTCTCTCTCTCTCTCTATCTCTCTTTCTCTCGCTCTATTATTTATGATGCGTGTTTAACACATAATAGCTGGGGAAAACATAACAGAACATGCTGCTACCTTATAATATATGGTAACAATTGCTAACTGCCGCTTAAAGCAGGTGCTTTTGTTTTAACGGCGAGACAAATTGGAGCTCTTAAAAGTATGCTATTCGCTAAGCGTTGTATATGGCCGGCTTCATTTTTGATGTAAACTAAGCAAAGCAAAGTCTTGCCAAAAGTTTGGATTTCGATTGCCAACAGTTTCAAGTTGCCTTAGCTGCAGCATAGTTAGCCAAGAGTTGAGTCGTGGTGGTTTCTTCAATTAGCAGAGGATAGTTTACGTATGACAACACATTTCAGTTTGTAGTTTTACTATGAAGCAGCTGCCTTGCTATATGTCATACCTTAAAGCTGAATTCTACTTGCGATTTGTGTGCCCTGAACCCCTGAGAGGCTTGGCAGACGCTATAAACTATATATATTCATGTTCAGGACAACGAGCTGAATCCATTTAGCGCTGTCCGTCTGTATGTCTAACGTTTGTCGGTAAGTATGAAGCAGTCATCTCAGACTCTTGACTTGAGTTTTCTTTTGTGGGTACAAGTTTTTTTTAAAAATATCTATAGTTATTTCCCTTTTAGTGTTATTGATTGAAAACAATTTTGAAATTAAGTTATTAAATTATATCTAATACGGCTGAAAAGCGAGAGTCTCCAAAGTTTGTATTTAGTTTTATAAATATTTTATACAATTTTGATTTTTCTTATATTTTGGATACCAGGACAGCTGCGACTTGAGCTTTCTTACTTTTTCTAAAATTAATTCCTATATATTTATTTTTGAGCATTTAATCTTTTATTATATTGTTCGACTTTGTGCAAAGCTCTGCAACTGGCATTGACTACCACAGAGTCTGTCTGTGGCTGTGCATTTAAATGAAAGATTGACAAACGTCGATTAGCTGAAGACTTTTCAAAAGTCCTCTTCATCTATTGCTTTAGAAGTTTATAGTTGTTTTCTCTTTTAGAGTGCTTATCTCTTAACGTTTTATATATTAAGGTCTCTGTGCTGTTTACTGCAGCTGCCCTAAGTTGAATATAGTTTGGCTGATTTCAGGAGTTGCCCTTGAAGCGTTGTTCTATGAAATATCTAATGATATATGCTGACCTCACATCATTTCAGCCCAACTTAAATATATGCCTAAGTGTTGCCTGCTCATGAGCTGAAATCTAATTAGCAGCTGACAATCTATAGATGCTGAATGGAATTGGCAAACTGAAAAGGTCACTAATAGCCCTGACCTTGGAAGCTAACCTTTTCCTAGCAATGTAGAGTGACATTCAAAAAGGGAGTTAAAGCATTGGAAATTGGAAAAATTCCGATGAAAAATGCCATTGATACTCTCAGTTGTTGAAGCATAGATAACCCTAGAGCTTCCTGCTCATAAATATATTACACAGGTAAAGTGGCAGCTGGGTTGTGCAATTAGCAGCTGACAGTCTATGGACAGTTACAAAAATGTAGTTGGTATGTAGTTGCTTACCGTAGCCAGCACGTAACGTGGTTGCCAGCTGCAGGGTGTGTGTGGGTGTGTGTGTGCTTAATTGAAGTCCGGCTGTTGTCATTGTTGCAGCAGCCGCAGCAGCAGCAGCAACAATTGCTGCCTCCGCACTGACAGCAGCCGCAGCCAGCATCGAGGAATCGTAATCTGTGGGCAGTTCCTCCGAGCGCTGGCGAGTGGGTTGGACCTGGGCCTGGACCTGAAGCAAACCACTGCCCATGGCACTAGCGGTGCAAACGATGGTTGTTATTAGTATAAATAATTGTATTAAATTGCAAATGAAACATTCAGTTTGGCGTGCTGTAGCTGCAGTAGTTGTCGCTGTTGTGGCTTCAAGCGTTTGTTTTGGGTTCGTTTCGGGTTTAATGCGTGTTGTTGTTGCTGCTGCCGTTGTTGCACTTAAACGCATTTTGTATTCGTGAATTCCTGCGTGGAATTTGCCTTAACTAAAACACATTTCACAAACTGCATTTGAGCTCGTTGTTTTTTGCACCACTTCGCCCTTGCTGCGCCACTTAATGCAATTGTTATTGTTATTGTTATTGTTTTCAGTTTTTCGTCTTTCGCTTTCCCTTTTCAGTTTTTAGTTTTTAGCTTTTTCAGTTTTTAGCTGTTGTTCAGATTGGTTTTGGTGTTTTGTTACATTTGCATTTGTGGCCTTAGATTGTGTTTGGATTTTACATAATTGAATATGTTAATTTATTAACAATTTATTTGTAATTGCATTGAAATGTTTGATTTGTGGTTGTTGCTCGTTTTTGTTAAATATTTAATGCATTTTTTTGATAGCTGAAATTAATTAGAAAATCATAAAATCTAAAATGAATTGATTCGATATGAGTTTGCTTTATGTGTGTATATAACTATGATATGTCTGTTATGTTTGGCGAGTGACCCAAATAGTAGTTTTCCATAACAGACAGGCGGACAGACAGACGAGCAGACGAACAGACATGTGTTCGACTTGCCATGACAGCAAAGCCTCTTTACCATAAACTATTTTCTATTTTCTTTTTTCTTTTTTTTGGCAGCTGCTTTTATGCAGCATATATGTTGCACATACATGTTACCATTTCGCATACGTATTTGCATTAAGCTCACATTACACAAGCGACATAAAAGCAAACCAAAATACACAATTAGAAAGGTTTTTGGCGCCAACAACTGCATAATAGTTGTCTAAAAATCGCACATATTTAATAATTAATGCTTGAATAAATCAGTGGTTGCTATAATAGATCTAACTGTAGATCTATTCATAAGCAGATCAATCTATCTGTTGTTCTATCTATTTGTAGATACATTTATATGTTGACATATTTATCTGTAGCTTAATCTATTAGTCAATCTATCTGTAGATACATTTAACTGTATCTTTAGATTCATATATTTGTAGATACATTTATCTATAGCTTAACCTATTTGTAGAGTAATAAATCTATTGATACAGTTATCTGTATCTCAATCTATTTGTATATTTATCAATCTGTTGATATATTTGTCTGTAGCCCAGTCTACTTATAGATCAATCTTTCTGTACATATGAAGATCAATTTATTTTTAATTGCATCTATCTGTATCTTATTTTATGAAACGATTAATTTATCTGTAGTTCAATCTATCTGTTGATCAATAGGTGTCTGCCTCCCAAGCTTGCTCATTTAAGCTCAAATTTTTGCTTGACATTTAGAATAGTAGAAATGTTGATTATAAATTTTAAATCTTATTAGTCACGACTCCAATGAGATTAGCTATATAATTCTACATTTCTAGACAGAGCTCGTACATAAAGATATTTAATTTCATTTGTCAAACTTAGTAGTAGCAAAAGCTAAGCTGCATAAAAACTTCTGATTTACCAGGCTTCCAGTAAGCTTAATCCTTTAAGTCTAACAACTTTATTTGATATGGAAATACATGAGTATATATACTTAAAACCTGAGTTCTTCAGATTCTGCTATATCTAATTAAATATGTATGCTGGTAGAGACATTGCACAAAAGCCAATAGACTCCGCTAACGTGCTGAACGAGCATAAACAAACAATTGTCAGGGCATGTTGCAAGTTGTTCCTATTACAATTTGCATTGATAATCAGGGCGCGAAGCTGATTGGTAAAAATCAACAGACATAAAGCAGCTGTCCACTCAGACATAAACAAGAAACCGCAAGCTATTTGAGTCAGTAAAAAATGGAAAATATGTTCGAGGCAGTCAAGAGCATTAATGGCTTTCTAGACCGAAACGTGGATTTGTTAGAGTTTTCTTATTTACTTTATATAGTAACATATATATATATATATATATATTTATGTATATAAAGATAGCCGCGTTTGTTAAAGAAACAATTTCAATTTCACAAACGACGCCCACAACAAATTTTCTTGAGGGCATAAAAAAAAGAAGCGCGACAGCAAATCCCCTTTATGAGCAACGCCCAAATTTCCTTCCTTCCTTTATTTTATATTTTGTTGTGTTTTTGCTTTCGATTCTTTATGATTCTGCGAAAGCGCTTTGAATTTAACGGAACGGAATATTTATTTTTATTGTTTAACTTGGCACAAATCACTTGACAACTATAGAATATTTAATATATATAATTTTTTGTTTTATTTTCTTTGTATTTATTTTGATGTTATTACAATCTCATGGCATGCACACTGAAATTAGCATATCCTTTGCACGGCACAACTTTCGTTAGAATATCAAATCTAAATAGTTTGCGCATTCACATGGTATTACACGCAAGTTGACTTTTTTTTTGGTATTGGTTTAGGGTTTTTGGTTGGTTTTGGGCTACGTCTCTAGACGCCTCTGCGACTCGAATAGTACGACGTCAAGATGTTCGTTGTTCCGTTGCTGTTCAAGCGTTTTGTTTAGTCGGAGCGTGTTTTGGTTGGGAACGTCAAGACGCCGTTACACTTCGTTTATGACTGTCCATCTGCAGGCAGCCAAATCAGTTGGATTGTTGAATTTGAATTGTTGTTGACTTGCCGAACTCATCAAAACAGCGAAATCTCTGCCAATGCCTCGTTTACAGACTCGGCTTATGCCTGGGGTAGTTGGAGCAACGAAAGCTTCCTTCGTTCAGCTTGTCGTGTGTTGAGTTTCACATTTCCGAATTGGCTAGGGGGCTGAGTGGTGAGAAAGTTAGGTATAAATTCGGTAAAGCAGTGCATATGAAGGGGTCGGAATGGTCTTTATAAAGTTTATATGTGAAATATATTTAAATTATTTTTTCTTGTAGTGTGAAGTGCATGGATTAAGGAGTTATGTATCTCTTTAACTAGTTTTATCATATATAAAATGCAACAAATTTGCTATACCTTTAAGCTAAGACTTCTGTGCTTCCTTATATCTCTAAAATATAAGTTACATTTATTTTATTCTTTATTTCGAGTTCTTTGCAACGTTTTTTAATTAAATACATTTAAAATCTCTGATATATTACAAAATATTTATATTATAATTATATTCATAAGAAAGGCGCAGTGTACGCAGCTTATACTATTCATTTTATAAGTTAATTCAGACATCTTATACGTATAACAGCTACAAGCTGCCCAAAGATGGCGCCACTTGCCACACGCATAATTTTTATGCCTTTACGCACTGCTTACAGAGCGCACTCGAACTGCTCTCTTTCCCTCAGCCTCTCTCCCTATCTAATACACGCTCTCTATTTAGGCCAAATCTCCACCTGGTGCTGTTGTGTCTTTTGTGTTATCAGAAATGCTTGGATGCTGGTCGGTGGCAGACGTCCTTCGTCCTTGACAGAGTTTGACCGTAGGCGAATGCCAGTTGCTGCAAATAGTTTAAAGTGCGAAAACGTCTCGGTTGAATGAAAAAATTTAAAGTTTAGCTCACAATATACATACAAGCGCAGGCCAAGGCATGTGAAAAGAATAAAACAAAAGCGAATATTGGCCAAGTTATTGTTTGTTTTTTACATTTTTTATAATTAAGACAAAGCAGCCAACAAAAGACAAGTGAAGCGTTCTAATGAATACCTAAGTATACACACACACACCTATACCTATACCTATACATATAAACGTGAAAAGAAAAGTTGTTTTAGGTCAAACAAAAGAACAAAAAAAAAAGAAAACTTCCCAACGCTAACAAAAAAACCAGGCAAAATGAAAATCTGTTGGAAAAGCGTTTAAGGCCGCACAAGAAAATTAAGAATCAATTGAAGCTGAGACGCGTAAGTAATTAATTATGCATGGTATGTGCGTGAGTGTGCGTGTGTGTGTGTGTGTGTGTGTTGTGATTCTATACAGTTGACAGTTATATAAAGGTACGAGTGTCTAGAAAATGGTTGGCACTCTGGGTACACTTATGTCTCGTTCAATTAGCAGGTGTCTGCAGAGCTCAAACTGTCAGCCAGTCAGCCAGCCAGCTGCATGAAAAGCTTGTTATCAGATCCTTCAGCTGCCTCCAGTTGGGATTTGCACTAATTGTGCGGATGCCTTGCCTGCTATGCGTGCATGTGTGTGTGTGTGTGTGTGTGTGTGTTTTGCTACAAGTGGCTGCTGTTGTTGTTCTAGGAGATCTGTTTGCAGCTATTCTTGGCTTCTTGGCACTGACATTGTTGTTGTTATTGTTGACTCTTGTCTTGTTGTGTGCACAATTAGTTCACTGCACACACACACACACACACACTCGCACACACTCAGCGCATACTTGAACTGCGTTCTCTCTAAACAGCCTCGAGTCACGCACAGATGACCTCACTGTACAGTAGACAAACAACAGGTGGATGTAGCAAGTCCTTAACAACTGTTTGCTATTGGAAACTCTCTAGTGTCTCGCATTAGTTTTTTAGTAACTTGTGTTGCCGAGAGCATTTTTTGTTGTTGGCCATAAAAGCTAAGTGGGAAGGGCTTAGATTTGGGCATGCCCACTATTTGTATACCCTGCAGCAGTTAAACAAGTTGAACAAAGTTGAAAGAGGTTAGACACACAGGTGATTTGCACCTATTTGTAAGCCAAGCATAAGGACATTTTCAAAAGTGCGATAGGGAAATGTGAAGAGAAAAGGTATGGAAAGAATTGAGGGGAAATGCTTGGAAGCGGCAAGGAAATATGTAAGAAAAGAGATAAGAGAAACTGCACAGGAAGAAATAAATGATAAAATACGAAGGAGGTAAGACATGAGTTCAGGAAGAAGACAAAGGACTAGACTTAAGGAGAACTAGGGCTATAAAATGAAGTAAAGGAAAGCGTTAGGGAAGAGGCTACAGTAAATTGAGTAAGAGCTATAGAATGTTCTAAGCCATAACCCTACCCGAGGGCTGTTTAAGGACGACGCGTCCGACGTAAGGAAAGCAGCGAAGGCAGCATTAGGAGAGAAGTGTCCTCTTTAATTTTAACTCTCTTCTAGTCAGCTCATCAAATTATAATATTTTAATTCAGCTTTTCCAGCGTAACTAAAATATTTGAAGAAAAAGTAAATTTTATTTGAAAAGTTTTTCAGTTCCAGTCAAATTTCTCCTTGCTTACCTTAAGTCTGCTCTTATGTGGGGCGAATCTCAGCTTGGTATTTGAATATTCTGAGCTTTTACTACAGATACCAGCTCAAAAATAATAAGTCTATGGCTGAGAGCTTAGTCCCACGCCAAATATTATAATTTAAATACAAGTTCAGTTAATTTAAGCATTCATTTTAAGTTTTGAGAGATCTGCTTATGTTCCCCATGCTCTACCTTCAGCTAAGGCTCAAGGAACAATCGAGCTGATTGTGTGATTCAGAAATTCTTGCCCAGCTAATGGCAGCCTTTGTTTTTGCCCTGCAGCGTTGCATCCGTTGATGAGTAGCTGCTGGTTGGCTATAAATACACCACAGGGCGAGACGTCGATGTGGTTGTAAGAATGCCATCGCGTCGCAGCGGTGGTGTGGGCACCACACGGCGCAAGCACTCGCTGGGCAATCTACGGCGCGCCCATCCGGCCTCGGGTGCCACGTGGAATGTGCAGGTGGTGCGCGGCAAGATGTCCTCGAAGTGCTTGTGGCACGCGTGTCGGGCGCTAATCTTGGGCCTGGCCCTGATGCTGGTGGGCGCTGGCATGGCCACGCTCGGCTACTATGCGGATCACCTATCGATGGGCTCTGAGCTGCGCGGCAATGTGACGGTGCGCGTGAAGAACGATCTGAAGGGCTTCCATTTGAACAACTTCGCCTATGTGGGACCCATTGTGATGGGCTTCGGCGGCTTCATTGTGGTGGCCTCCTGTGTGATGACCTTCGAGGCACGCGACTCGGCGGCTAAGGTGGTGCCGGCCAGGCTGCGTGCCGGCGCTGGCAGCTGTAACAAGTCTGCGACACGCAGCAATCAGGGCAGCTCCGCCTCGCAGCGCCGTGGCATGGGTAAGTAACTGAGACGTCGACTTGAAGCTGACATCGCTGCTCACGGCTAGCTATTTGTGCAGGTGCTCAGTATCAGTCGACGCGCTGGGATCAGCACTTCGGCGTCTTTCGCTCCTCGCCCGGCGATCCACATCAGCAGCTGCAGGCGGTGGCTGGTGCACCCGGCTCCGGGCAAACGCAGGCGCAGCCCTTCGATCGCGAAGCTCTCACCGCCGAGCTCATCAAGTTCTCCAAGTCGCTCAGGTACTTAACGTTAGATACCGTACATACAATTGTCTAACCATTTAGCAGTCATAGAAGCATCGCATTTTGTAAAATTTGTATATAAGAAATTTGTAAATACTCGCAATTGGCTGCCTCATTGCATATCTCTTTCTCTCTCACACGCACACACACACATATATATATATATACATACACACACACACACACACTCTCTCTCTGTTTCTGCCTGCTTTGCATCCACCCATTAGCGCATCCGCACGCTTTTCGCCAAAGCTGCGCCGTCTCACGTTCACAGGTTCCGTGCCCGATTTGTCCACCATCCATGCAAACGCTCATCCAAACGCCTGCATCGACACTAATCACTCCAATCTGTTCATGCCGCTGGAACAACAACTGCAACTGCAACAACTACAACAACTGCAACTCCTCCAACAACAACAACAATTTTGTTGCAAACGGCATCATCATCATCATCGCCATCACCAACACAAACAACGCAAACAACAACAACAATCGTGCTCGAGCAGCAGCGTTCGTCGCGTACGCCAAAACCGCACCGCGGCGGCCAGTGGCTCGGCAGGCGTGGCTGGGGGCGTTGCTGGTGCCGCTGGCTCCAATGCACGCCTCATCAGCAACTCATCCAGTTTGATACAGCGCGCTACCAGAGAGTATTCCACGTGCACGCTGCTGCAGCCGCCTGCAGCGAGCCGCGTTTATTGGCAGGCCTCGTCCTTTGACGGCGGCATGGGCGGGGCGACAGGGGCCAGCCACAGCACTGCGGGCAGCGAGAAGCGCGCCGAGCGCAATAAACGCTCGGATACGGCAAAGCGTCATGTGCTGGCACGCCAGCGACCCATCGAGCACGAGGAGGCGGCGCGGGAACGTTGCAGTCCACTGGGACACAGGCGGTAAGTGCGTTTAACAACACTACACACACTATGCAGTTGCTAGCCAACACTGCTTGCTTGAAAGCTTACAAAAATTTGGATAATTTTGAACTTGTTGCTGCGATAAATGCGCTTTACAGCAATGCATTTAGTTAGCCAGTTTCGAAGAGCTTTGAAAGCTTCTGAAAGCTTTTCCATAATCTTTGCTTACAATCTCCACATTTCCAGCAACTCTACCATGTCGGACTCCTCATACAGCGGCCGCTGGACGGCACGTTGTGCTTCGGTGGCGAGTCGCACCTCGAGCATTGACTCGCGGCGCGTTCAGGTGGATCTGCACAGTCCGGAAGTGATGCCCAAGTCGATACTGCGCTCACCCAAGCGCTACAGTTCCGGTCCCTCGGCAACGCCATCCGTTGATAAGGAGTTCCGGTAGGTGTTCTTATCATAGCACAAAACTTGCCTAACTGTCTGTTGTTCAACTATGCACAACAGGAGCCAATTGTCTGTGTGCTCGGAGCCGCCTCCCCCAGTGCGTCAATTGTCGGGACAGTCGAGCATGGAGCCGGCTGTGCCGGAGGAGAGCGTCGAGCTAATCGATGAGCGTATGCCCATGGAGTGCGTCAGCAACAGCAACAGCAACATCAACAGCGTCTCCTACAGCGAGATAACGGAGCTGGTGCATCACACGCACAGCTTGCCCCCGAAGAAACAGCGTCCCGACTTTCTGCCACTGGGCGGCAGCGCGGCTCAGCAGCAGCAGCAAGAGCAGCAGCAGCAGCCGAAATCAAATCCAGCGACGCTTTATAGAAGCAACAGCTCACGGCAATTCTATCGGCCCAAGCCGGGCATAGCCAAGGATCGCGATGATTCGGTATTCTATATACGCTCCTTGGAGCGCGGCGGCAGCTCCGCAAGCAACGATGAGCACATGTACGACTCCTTAAAGGTCATCAATGAGCGTCGTTCCACGTTGCTCAAGGCCGATTCACAGAGCTCCTTGGGCTCCGCGGAGCGCAAGCTGAGCAGCTTTTCGCTCAAAATGCCTGACATAACGGAACGCGAGAATTCCATAGATATAGAGGATGGACCTGCACCACCTCCACCCACAACTACAGCACAGCCAAAGTTGGCTGAAGACTCACCAAAAGAAGAGCTTGAGAAAATCCAAAATGAAACCTAAACAAATTGAAATTGATGTAGATAATTATAAACGTGTCTGTTGTATTGATAAGGTGTATTGAATACGTAGTAACCGCTAGCCAACGACAGTTACTTTAGCACAGATCTATTGTTACGTAACGTTCGACGATAACTGACATTTTTGATAAACTTGCAACACAAATTGGGACACCGAAAATTGAATTTAAGTTTAGCATAGAAACCGTCTAATACGATAAAGATCTCAACCAAAAAAAAACAAATACAAATTCTTCCCTTCGTTTTCGACTCTTAAAATCTAAAAAAAGAAACGAGTGTTAGCTGTGTTATATAACGATTCTAACTAACTACGTATTGTTATCTGTGTTGCCCTAGGCGCTAATCGATGTATTGAAGAACATAAAAAACAAACAAATAATAACTATTTTATATGTCTATGTGTTGAATTGTTAATATACTACAGAGAAAGAAGAAAATTCGATAAATATTATATTGTTATAATTTCAATGAGCTTTTAATAAGTAAGCTCTATGAATCTATTGCCCGTTACCTCTTTACTCTTTCCTGTTTCCTGTGTAAACTATATAAACTAATTCCATGGAATAGCAATTCGAAATTGTACATAAGCTACTATATAATAATGCAATCAGCTTACAAGCGAAGACTGATGTTTCGTAAATTTATGTTCTATACGAAAGTTCTCAAAAGAAAAAGTCAATTTTTGTTCAAATACAATGAAAAGCAATAAGGAATTAGGAAAGTTATTTATAGCGCACGCAGTGCATATGAGGGCAACGAAAAGCTGATCATAATTAATGGAAAAACAGAATAATAGCATATTATGTTTGAAGAAGTGTTCCACCAACCCAAATATCACCAGACTTTTGGTTTTCTATAGCTTCAAAGCCGAAAGGCAATAAACCAACAAAAAATATCAGAAGAAAACTTTCATCCGAAGTAATTTCCACCAACGTAATTATTGATAATCATATATAACAATTATGTGAAACATATATAAATATATATATATACTTTACATAATACTTATACACACATAAATATGTATTTTATATCTGAGTGTTAATTTATAAAACAAATTCGAACGCAAACAAATGTTTCTTAATCCATGTTTCTTATGAATGTGTTGAGCAAAACAAAACAAAGCAAAACTTATTTATGAAGGAATTTGTACTTATGAAAAAAAAAAAAACAAAAATATGAAGAAAAAAAGAGTAAGCAAAAATTTAAAAAATGTTATATGTACTCATTATTGATGTGCGAAAAGTTTTATATTAACTGTTTATTGCATGAGAGATCCACATTCATTAGAGATGCAAAACAATATTTATATTAATAAAAGGAATTATATATGTGTGTTAAAACTGATTTCTTAGTGTTGATTTAGACATCAAAGTTTATTTGTTTCTATGAAATTGAATTTTTATATTTTTATTACAAATTTTGCTAACGGACTTTTTAATTCGTTAAGTGTGCAGTATATTTTTATATTATTGTTGGTGTGGAGCAGTGTTGCGGAGTGTGGAGTGTGGAGCAATTCTGTTAGTTAACATAGGTCTGGTAAACGCAATGTTAGCTTGCATCACGAATTGTTGTCTGTGCCATACACACAATTTCGCGGAAATCACAATTAATAGAAATTGACGACCTACGACCAGACTTGGCCAAGTCTGGAATTAAAAAATAATCTGCCCAACACACTTCCCCTTCCGTAGTATATAAGCAAAGAACAGCAACATGGTATTCGGGTAAGTTTCAGCAGATTGGCTTCGCGAAAATTACGTAACCTTAAAACTAATAAATTGATTATTGTATTTATGAAGACTCCTGGTACGCGGTGGCCTGGTCGCTGGCGCTGTCTACTACACCCGTAAGGCAGGCGTCTGGGGCAATACGGAGCAAACGGATAAACTCTACAACGATGTCAAGGGCCAGCTTAGTCCGTATGTACAGCAGGCCAAGAACAAGCTGCCATTCGAGCTGCCACAGCTGCCCAAGGTGGGCGAAATGCGCTTCCTAGCCAAACACTATTACAACGAGGGCGTGAAGAACTCATTCCGGTTTGTTCATATGTTGCCCTGCTACGCGGGCCGAGGCCTCAAGAAGTTGAAAGATACATTTGAAGATTTTGCCAAATCACCAGCAATCGCAGCCAGCGAGCACCAACAGCACGCGCAGCAAGCGGCGAAGTAGGCCAACATCTGCTTTCCTTATCCATTCGATAGAAGGCTGTTTTCATGTTAGTTCATAGTTAGTATATTGAATACACTATGTTTGTGTAATAATTTCCCACGAAATCAATTAGCGAGCGGCTGCTCTGCGGGAAAATCGAAGATGTCAAGAGCAAGACTCTTGCTATAAAATACTTATTTACCTCTAATTGTGGAATACTTAAGCGGATGTCGCTCGATCTTTTATGCTAGTAATAAACAATATTATCTTATAAGCGTGAAAGGCGCTCAAAAAATCGTATTAAATGATGATTTAATTTAAACCAAACCAAATTACAACCTTTTAGCAGCAGCATATATATATATATATATATATATATATATATATATATATATATACATATACTGTAAATGTATATACTATAAATCTTTCTCTAACCGTGTATTGTTTAAACTGTTCTATGACAGCATTTAAGCAGATAAAAAACTAGATTTCTAACAAAGAAATGCACTGAGAATTTTGTATTTGGATTACAAATAGATGACAATGTTGAAATAGTATCTGACTGGAGCAGAGTGTCAAGCAGACCGCGGTAAACCCCATGCAGTATCTAAAGGAATATAATTAGTCATAACTCATTAAAAATATCGCCAGAAATAAATTAAATATTCGAAGAGATAAAGCTGATGAATAATAAATTAGCTTCCAAATAGATTCTAATTAGTCTAAATCTGATTGGACCGCTTTCAATCGATCCGCTTATAACTTCGCTTTGTGTGCATTGTGTTTCTTTTTTGTTGAAGGTGTTAACTATTAGCGGTGTAAACATTGTGATGCTGTAAATTGTTAAGCAGTATAAGATAATGATTGATTGTTGTTAAACATGAAGAGAAGTAATAACAAATATGGGGTCGGTTGTGTCTCACTTACAGATAATTTCAAGGCTCTTAGCAGATTTTTCTGATTCAGACTACTTTGTCTCTTAGATTGAAATAAATACTCTTGATGTAGACTTTTTTCTGGCTGCTTGGTAGTACATATATATCTTTTTTTTTTATTTATTCTTATTTCTCTTATTAGATATATAGGCGTGTGTAGGTCGACTGCCAATGATTAGTAGATGAAGTCGCTAACTTGGGAGACATTTTCTTTTTGATTTAGAAACTCTTTTCCTTAACCTATTACAACGTAACCACTTCCCAAGATACCCGCCTTATAAATTTTCAAAAGGTATAACAATCAAAACATTGCGACAGGTTGAGCGCTGAAGCGTTTTGCCGGCAAATCGTCACTCAGCTGAGCGCATCTGAGTCGAGCGACTGACTCATTGATTAAGCTGTATGTGTGAAGGTTGTCGTTCGTTTGACATTTAAGAGATTACAAGCAATTACAACTATACAGCTTCCGTTTTTGAATGTGGTTCAGTAAGACAGAGATTACGCATACGCCGCATAGTCCAAATATCAGACTTGACTTTCTACGCCTTCGCCAGGCAAATAAACCAAAGCTAACAAATCGTATTATACAAAACAGACGTCACCTAGAAGCAAACGTGCGCCGCACACTGATAAGCAGCTGCCATATAGCTATATACATATATACTATATACGGTAGTCATGTCCCTAATTGTGGCAGACTCGAGTGCTGCCAGAAATAGTGATAAAAGCCCCGTTTAGGACAACTGCAGTGTTTCCATGTAACGGTCACTGGTTTAATTTTAGCAAACACTCGAGTCCCGTTCTGATTATCTGCGAACGAGTGCAAAATATGAATTTTGATTTGATTTCTTCGTCACGTCTATTTATGATGTTTGCCTATTCTATCTGTACCGCCGGCTATTTTTATTACCAGTATGTACTTGGCCTACAAGCACTTCTTAATTAATAAATTATTTATAAACTTTGCTTTGGTTTTTGTGCTCGTTTTTCGATTGCTGCTTTGCTGTTTTGCTTGCCCAGCTAAGCGGCATCAAATACAAGTAACTGTCGGTGTCATCTTCCGTATCGCTGACAGGCAGCAGATAAAAACTTACTACTTGCAACTTGCCCCGCCTACCCGCCGGGCTCACCCACACTGCTAGTTTGCCGTGAGTCATGCTATGGCAAAGATAATGTCTAGATCTTGGTACAGCATCTGCTGTTTGGTCATGCTGGTCGGCAAAAGTACAAAGCGATGTTACGGATCGAATTAAATCACAGGTAACGCAACAATTTCATTAATTTGTAAATAATTAAATTCGTTTCGGCAAGCGCAAATTGTCAATATTTGCTATTTTCGGCGACCCATAAAAATAAAGACAACAACATCAAGTACAACAAAAAAAAGTAAATAAATAAATGCTTAACCTCTAAATGGGCGAAAACATGCATACGCCATGTTGTGCCGCCACAACAAGCAACACCTCAGAGACCCACAATGATCTAGAGGCCGTAAAGAGAGTAAATGTTGTATGAGCATACACACGACTACACACACCCATACACACCCATACACGCGCAGCCTCAGTGATAAGAGAATTTCTTTCTGACATTGCGCATACGCCGCGCATGACGACACAAGAAAGCGTCTGATATTTATATAAATATGAAGAATAAATTGTGTCTATTTACCTATGGGCGAACAATAATTAAAAATGCTTTCTTGTTTAGTTTAATTAAAGTTCTGATAAAGCGAAAATATTCAGTTCACTTGTGTCAATAAGCAAATTGACGCAGATTCAAAGTACAATCTGCATACTAAAGTGCATGGAATAATCTAATGTCTGCGGCCTTACGCAGGAAATTGGAAGCGAAGCGGAACTCTTTGAAAAATGTGTGACACTGTTTTATTGCGCCTTTGTTGCAATTTACTAACTAATATTTGTTGAAACGTGTCCCAAACACATTTTATCTAACAGTCTAACAGCTTGTGTTAGATTGTGTCTACCGTTCAGTTGGCTTAAGAGCTTAAGTTTATGATGTGCTCTTTTTTTTTAGCTTTAGGCTATTTGGCCATATTTAAATAAATGTTATCTAATTGACGCGCGTCTTGTTGGCAAAAATATGAATCCACATTCATAGGAAGCGCAGCTATAAAATTAAAATATTTTTTTAAACGAGAGCTTGTTTTGAGTAAAAAGTATGAGTCGAGCTGGAAGTCAAAATCAAAGTGAAAAGCACAGAGTCTGCAGTGCGTAAATGAAGCTGCAAGCGAACATCGTCGTGGACAAGCGACAACTGATGCTGGACTCTCTGTATTAATCTTACCTGCTGCAAAGTTCTTGAGCCTTTGCCTTTAGCTAAGTGTCAGCCTGGAATATAGCTACGAGTGGAGTCATAAAGTTAAGCTTCAATTGAAGCTGTAGACAGAGAGTAGCTGAGGCGAGACCTATGGAAATTTCTAGCTCTCTATATTTCTTATCTTGGCTTTAGCGTCTGCATAGCTCGCTAATCTTTCGGCCGGGGCCTTGCATGTCAATGGAATTCTTACCAATAACTGGAATACCAAGTGTGAAACGAAGTCTAAATTAAGTTCAAAGGAAGCTCTAGGCCTGGACCTGGCATGGTAAATAAAATGAAGCGAAAAGCTCCAGCGAGTAGATAAACCAAGACAAATGCTAATTGGGACTTGCCTTTTCAGCCCTAGTTCACCAAAGTCAAGGCTTCTCTAAAATTTAACTACAGTTCAATTGGTAATTCGCTCAAGATATTGCCATTTGAGCATTCAATGCCTAGGCAAAGCTAAAAATCAATTAAACAAACAGCTCACAGCAAGAGACGATCTTGATCCGGGCTTTCAGCTACTGTCGCATCCAAGCGCAATGCTATTAACTCATTTTGCTTTTGTTATTGGCCATTTGTGATATTCAATTATTGTCACACATATTTCTATGTCACGTCGCGGATCGTTGTTCGTTGTTGCTGTTGTTTTTGTTGTAGTTGCTTATTGATTTGCCCATACAATGGCATTATGAGGGCGACCTTTAAGCATAAGCCGGCTGGCAGCATCGTATACAAAAAGTTTGTTCAACCAATAAAAAATCGCATAATCGATGATTGTTCTTCAATAATTGGAAGCTGATAAGACTTAAACAGTTTTCAAAAGTTTATTGAACTGCCACAACAAGTTATATAATTAATTTATATGCTACGCTTCATAATTAATTTGCTCAAATCATGTGCGTTTCGTTCAATTTGTTTAAGCAGCAACAGCGTAGCGTGTGCCTTGGGCAAATATTACAAACTGAAGCGAGCCAATCGCCAAGCGCCAAGTGCTAATCGCTTAATTACAATTCGATGCGAAACACCTGAACACACACACAGACTCGCTCTCTCTAGTGTGTGTGTGTGTATGCTAATGCTGCATCTGTCCAAATGCTGCAGCAATTTGCACATTTGCTAATTGTTGATGTGCATTAATTATATATTTTGTTCTATTATTTATTTGCGTTGACTAGAACGCATTTCCAAGATTTGGACCGGTTTCATATATACTTATGTAACGCTTCCGATATCTGCTATAGATATTATATGTGGTCTTTCAAGCAATACCCACTGAAAAGATGAGTAAGATGTGTGTGCTAATGTCAAGCAAATGGAATGTGGGGCAGTCATCAACTTCAATTTATATATATTACATTCATTTGTATATACTCTTCAAAGACCAGATAGAATCAATAAATTAGCTAATCAGCTCTTAAGACTTAAGTACTTAAGATGACTTGCATTTACGTTGAAGAGATATAAATCATGCGCTCTGCCACTCATGTCGTGGCTATGCCGCAGCTATGCTGGCATTTGCTCATATTACAGGGCAACTGCGAGTCGTTCATCTTAGTGGCTGTGGCTTTGGCCGCTGATGCTGCGGCCAGTTTATAAGTGAGACGATCTCCAGCGACCCTGCGTTGTTGCCTTTTCGCTGTTCGATAGCTAACAACGTAGCAGACCGGGAATACCTTCAGAAGCCGACAAAAACGAGAGTCAAGCTGGTGTTGTTGTTGCCGTTGTTGGCTGGCTGTCTTATCAGCAAACCGAACACACACACAACACTTTTCTCTGTTCATTTTTTTGGATAACTGCGGCAAGTTACAGACAATTTTCGCTAGCTTCCAGCTCAGCTGCTCAGTCGCTCGACTGCTCAGCTGCTCAATTGCTCACCTGTTCAGGCACTCAGCTGCTGAGCATTCGGCTCAGTGCTTTGTGAGTGTTCGACGCCGACGTCGACGCCGCCGACAAAAAACGACGGCAGCAGCGCAATCAGGTATTTCTGCGAGGCGCAAACGCGACGTGAGATCAAAGCGCCAACGACTAGCAACAGGTCCACGTCCTCGCCATTAGAACTTAAACCCAAATAAAATATAAATTAAAATCACAATATTCAAATCAATTAAATTTATGAAATAAATAAAGCGCATTCGGATCGATTGATTGGAAGTGAATGTGTAGCGAAGCGAGGATAAAAAAAGATCGTGTGCCAATCGAGCCGAGGTGACAAAGCAACTGTTCAAGTGTTTCAAAATATCAAAACATGAGCATTATGCAAATCGAATAAATTAAGTAAAGTGCTGACAAAAAAAAAAACAACAACAACAGAAACACAATTTCTAGAAAATGAAGCGACAGTTGATAAAATTATTGCTCATAACATTCATATGCGGCAACGTACAAACGACTTTTGGGTAAGTAAATTTAATTGAATTCTCGCTAGATAGGAAATAGCCGCAAAGTAATATCTAGATATTTGACATAGAGTCATCATATTTCCGCTCTCTTTAGTCTACTAAAGAAATGCTGATAGTAATTTTAATTTCTTACCGAATTTACAAATAGAGTCAGCGAGTGCTGCCAGAAAAGGCAAAACAACTCAGGCTGATAAAACTAAATAGCATTGATATGTTTCCATTTGTCAGATACAACCAATTTATACAGCGATTCGGCCAAAAATAGCTAATTGAAATTTTTGCCATCACAATGCTTTGTGCTCTTTGTTTCTGCTTCTCTTGTGAGCTGCTATCCTAGCTCTTTGTTTTGCTTTGTATATTTGGAATTTGTTTCTTTTTTGTTTTTTTTTTTTTTATCTGCAGTTAAAAGTGAAAATTTCTACATCTACGTTAGCTTTTCTATATAAAATTGTTTACATTATCTGTTACACAACTGATAAAACTGATAAGAAATAAGAAATTGCTGCAGTTTGTTGTAAAGAACATGTTTCCTTATGCTGTAAGATGATAAAGACCAAAAGATTGCCGGGAATACCAGTTGGTTATCAAATTGAATATCAAAATTATTTACATAGAAGATGTTACAACAACTGATAACTCAAGTAAATAATATATTATTTATATATTTTTTGTAATATATTAAAAAGCTACATTACGTTTGGGAGCTGCCCCATAAATATGCCGCCGACGCCATTAAGCAAATATTTACATAATTTGAAGGCGCAAAAATAGAGAGAAAATACAAAAATTTACTACGTTTCGCCTGAGTTTTTTTTTATAATTAATTCAAACCTTCTTTCGGTGCTCAGATGTTGAAGGTTAGAGAGCTAATGGAAAATTATTATCTGGCATTAAATGCAATGTCAATAGGTAAATATTTAAAAGCAAACCAGAAATAAACGAGCTACCGTAGTTTATTTATGGATTTTCTGGTTAGGGATCAGGCCAAGTGCAGTAATTGAATTGGTATGCTCATGTAACAACAACAGCAACGGTAACACAATAAGCAGGTTAAACAATGAAAATATTAGTTATAATGGCAAGCAAATATCTCACAGACTTAGCTCCAAATGAGTTTGAACAGCTGCCCAATGGCTGGGCCCCTCGGCTCCGCCCAACTAAATGGGCCAAATGCCAATAACAATTGGCAATTGCCAATATAGCTAACTTTGCTTAAAAGTCGCTTACATATTTGAATTAACTACAAATATTTATTTTTTATATTTAAGAGTTAATTGCAAACAGTTGCAATTTAATATAAATCAACTGACCGACGACAAAGTTTAAAAACAATAAACATGAAATCCCATAAAACTCAAAATAAATAAATCAATTTGATTTTAAAAAGATTTTGAGCAAAAAAATTGCATAAATACAAAATGTTAATTAACAAGTGTAAGACTCATATTACTCATACGCCGCATGTACACTCAAAGCACAGGGCTTCAAATATGTAAATAATAGAGTTGTATTTTAAATACTTAAGCAAAAAACATATTTATATATATATAAATAAATATGTGATTGGATATTGCGTAGGCATTAGAGTTGTTGCGGCGTTTGCCATTATTACTTATACGCAGCGTTGGCTCCAAATGAGAATTCATAATTGTTATACAAGAGTTTTAGTATTTAAATATGTATAAAGAAACATATATGAGAATAAAAAACAAATAAATTCATATATAAATATTTATTTAAATAACTCGAGTCTCTTAGCTCATTCACTAGTTGCTTACATTACTCATACGCCATGTGAGCCTTCCAGTATGCAAATATATGCAAATCGATTAATTCTAAAAGTTAAAAAGAAAATAGGAATATATAAACATATTAACACACATAAATATGTAAAGCGAAATAAGTAAACCCAGCTAATGCTCAAGCCTTACGCTATTAGCTTACATTACTCATACGCCGCATTAGCTTCGACTCGACTAGTTCATTTACCTTTTTGTTTATCTTTCAGCGCCGCCAATGATAGCAATGTGGACGAGAACTGTCCAACGCTGGCCAATGCGGACAGCCTACAATATACCGAGCTGATCCAAAGAATGACGCATGTCTGCCGCTACGATCGCTTGGAGCGGCCCATAGGCAAGTGGCGCAGCATTGGCCTAAGCAAACTTCCATTTCTAACTGCTTTAATCTTTGCAGAATATGACCAGATAACGTCTAAGCGTCTGCCCATTGTGGTCAAGCTGCGCATCTATGTATACCTGCTGCAGAATCTGAATTCGGACCTGCTGCAGTTCAAGATGCACGCCCTGCTGCAGCTGAGCTTCCAGGACAAGCGTCTGGCCTACAAGGAATTCGCGCCGGAGCGACACGAAACGATCTTGGGCCAGAAACATTTGAGCGAACGACTCTGGCTGCCGCACATCTTTTTTGCCAACGAACGAGAGTCCAGCATCTTGGGCACCGATGAGAAGGACGTGCTGACGTCCATATCGAGGGATGGCAATGTGATAATCTCGACACGCATTCAAGCCTCGCTCTACTGTTGGATGAACTTCAAGAAGTTCCCATTCGATCAGCAGTATTGCTCCACTGTGCTGGAGAGCTGTAAGTCAAAGAAGCTCTCTTATTGGTTAAAGAAACTCTTTAGCTTGTTCCTTACTCTCCAGGGATGTACAACACCTCCGATTTATTGCTGGAATGGGAGGATCGTGCGCCCATATCCTTTGATCCTGATATGCGACTCACTGAGTATAATCTGGGCCAGTATTGGCATAACACCTCCGTTGTGCTCTCCGATGAGGTCAACATGCGACATGGCGCCTTCCGTAAGTCTTGAAGAAGTGAAGCGATAATCTTTACTTTAAATTGAATTCTCTTATAGAGGGCAACTATAGCTCGCTTAGCTATACTGTGAACTTGCAGCGTGAGATTGGTTTCTACTTGCTGGACTACTACCTGCCCTCCATGATGATTGTGGCCATTTCATGGGTATCCTTCTGGCTGCAAGCTGATGCTTCCCCTCCACGCATAATGTTGGGTAAGCTAAGCAAATCAATTATCAATTATTCTAGTACTCAAGTGTGTCTCTTGCTCTTCAGGCACCAGCACCATGTTGTCCTTCATCACGTTGTCCTCATCGCAGAGCAAAACTCTGCCGAAGGTCAGCTACATTAAGGTGTCGGAAGTGTGGTTCATTGGCTGCACCTTCTTCATTTTCGGCAGCCTGGTGGAGTTCGCTTTCGTGAATACGATATGGCGGCGCAAGGAGAATATCGAGCTGAAGAAAGTTAATAGTAAATATATTATAAAATCTACATTGACGCCACGCCCCTCGCGACGACAGCTGGGCGGCAGTCTGAGCAACGAGTCCAGAGCGCGCTCCTGCTCCAGTTTGGACAATATTGTATCCAGCACGGAGAGCGTGCGCAATGGCAATGGTACAGTTAATCCTGGTTTCAACAACTATCTAACTGTTCATGTAAGTCAATATAGACAGAACTGAATTGTTGAGGTATTTATATAATCCCTTGAATTCCTACAGCCCAACTTGCCCATCATACGCACCGAATGCGCCGATACGCTCTCCGTATGCAGCGCGCGCTCCACCAATGATCACATTGTGGACATCGATAAGGATAAGGAGAAGGAGAAAGAGAAGGATGCGCCCACATTTACAACCATGACGCCGCAAGAGATTGCCATGTGGATTGATAGACGTTCCCGTCTGCTGTTTCCTGGCATGTTTTTGGCTTTCAATGCGCTTTACTGGATTTTTGTGTACTGTTTTTAAGCCCATATACACACACACATACACACACACATTTATATAAGTGTGAATTATCAACGCATGCAAACATTTGTTGCCATACGCTCATAATAATTACGTTTATTGTAATATGTATAAATTAGTTGTAAGCTGGATCATCTCATAGTCATAGTTGTACATACATCGCCCGAATCGTATAAAGACAATCCAAAAAAATAAATATTTTTAGTATAAAAAATCAGAAGAGGAAAATTGTGTTTATCTATTTGAATGTGCCGCTTCAGCGAAAAGTGTGACCGTATCTGGTAAGCATTACAAGCTTTTGATTGTCGTACTGCAAAGCTTACAACTGTAAGCTAACACAGCAGTAGATGGCGCTGAAGGCAACGGATGGTTGCTTAAGACAACCGCTAGGTGGCGGCATTTGCACGCTCATAATAAAACAAACGAACTTCAATTAAAATAATTACTATAGAATTGGTAACAATTTATGGCTAATTGAGCATAGTTATGTGATTTAGCCTAATTACTGTCATATTCCAAGAAAATTAATCAGCTTCATTTATTCGCATATTCAGTAATTAGCAGAGTAATCCCTCGAAGTTATTCTACGATTGGCGCTCATATCCGTTGCACTCAAATTTCCTGCTCGAGTTTGGTTCACTGCATCCAATAAGCAACGCCTTCTCCGCTCACTCACTTGAATTGGTATATCTTTAAGCTCAATGCACATTTAGCACTTTCATTTCCCTAAATATAATCAAAATATGCAAATGCAATTAGGCGAAAATTTAACATTTACAAAGGCGTGTTAATGCTTAATATATATATATATGTATATATATATACATATCTTCTTGACTTGGAGAGGCATTAAAAGATTCTGTTTGCATTTTGGAAAAGTGAAAATTTCTTGTGCTTTGAGCAGACTGCAAATGGGGTTTTAGTACGGCAAATACTCGCATTTTTCTACTAAGCGGCTTAAATTGCAATTTAAAATTTAATTATATTTTTCTTTTTTCTATAATACTTCTCTTTCATAGCATAGTCTCATCCGTTTTTCATTGCAATTTCTCTCCATTATGGCAGAGCATCCAGCGCTGGCTCGTAAATTGAAACATAATTTATTGAATTTGCGCGCTCATCGAGCGATTTCCAGCTAAAGGAAAAACGCATCGAGCAACAGTTGGCCGTTGATTTGTATCTGGGGAAAATTGCATCAGTTTATCAGTTTAACATCACAATCAAATTTTGCACATGCGACTATGCAATCCAAACGGCAAATTCCAGCATTCAATTGACATGTAAATTTTGATACCAGAAATTATTTGTCAACTGTTTGCGAGGAATATAAATATTTTAACAAGTTTTTAAACGAAATTGTCGAGTTTTAATAACATTTCCTAACAGCAGAATAATAGAAATAATATAAAAATATATTTAAGATATTTTTTTGATCTCTGGAACATTTTAGACTATTGTTGTTCTAATTAACTTTTTCTAATCTAAGGAAACTTAAGCTAAGCTAATGAAAATCGCATAGAAAAGTGATAATTGAAAGAAAGAGATAGATGTAGATATAGATAGATGTATGTGCATGGCACAGAGGGAGATAGAAAGAGAGGGACGACACATAGGGGAAAGGAGCGAGAGAGAACGAGAGAAGAAGCAAAAGGGACAGATAGTCAAGGAGAGAATAAGACTGACCACTGCCTGAAATAATGAAAAGGAAAGAGAGATCATGTAAGAAACACTAAAAATTTATTCCTTCACTCTCTTAGATATTTATTTAAAATTGTAACTCAAAAGGGCTTACTTATAATTAGCTCATTCTCGAGCTATTTTAATCTTTGTACTTACAAGTTATTAGTATACTTCAATAATTAATCCGAAGTTCCTTTATTTGTCTTCTCTTCCCTGGCTTTTACTTCTTTTTAATTCACATGTCTTCTCTATACTCTTGTACACATTACTAAACTCAGCCTTCCCTTTCTTCTACACTACTCTCTCTCTCTCTCTCTACTTCTCTTCTCTTCTCGCACTGCAGCCCTGCTCAAAATTGCGTTTGTTGTCCCACAAAATTTACTTATAAACCATTTATAGTTATGGAGATTTTATAATGAAGTTATGCAATCTTTTTGCATAATAAGCAACTGCAGTTGCTCTTGCTGGCAGCACAGCAAGCCACATGTGGCGTACAAATGACGCAGTTTGACAATTGCGGCATTGTGTTGCATTGTTTTGTTTCGTATCTTCTACTTTTTGTTTGCTTGTTTTTTTTTAGTGGCAGTTCAGTGCATTGGTTCACACTTGGGAAATCAAAAGACATGATGTCAATCAATTGCTGTTGCTCTCAAGTGACAATCAATTGGGCTGCGGGTGTGGTCTGGCTAAAAGCGGCATTTAACTGCAGGCAACAAAGCTGGTGCTGGAGCGGCGCGTGTATCCAGAATGAGGGCTACAGCAAACTACAATGCCAGCAAAAGGTACTGTTTGATAAGGTTCGATCGCAATTTACCTGGTTGGTTGCTACGCTCTTCATCAGCAAGTGCGAAATTTCCAATTTCCGAAATGTGACACAGCAACTACAATGGGCCACAGATATTGTCATAGATACGTGTCATAGCATTCATATATATATATATGTATAGTTTGTGTGGGTGTTTGTGTGCGAGAAATGGTGGCATCGAAACGTTTATTTACATTGGCCGAGCTATTTTATTATTTGCCATTTTGCTGACCAGTTCAGGACAGAAGTTTTGCCTTGGATTTTGTTGCACTATATTTGGCAGCGGCTACCTGCAGGCTGATATAAATGCTGTTTGATTAAGCTAGCCATTTGTAGCCGTCTCTCTATCTGTATCCGTATCTGGATCTGGCAGCAGCGCTGACGCTGTGTAAATTTGTTAGCTCTGTCTATTTGCTGCAACTATTTACTGATGTGCTGTTGTTTACTTGTCTGCACTCGATATCCGCCCATCAATTGACAATGCTATCGAGCTGTGCCGTTTTCGAGTCTTTAATTTCGCCATTCTTTACATAAGTTAATTATGCTTTGTGCAACTATTGCTGCCATTTAAGGCAACAAATTGAGTTAACATTTCTATGGCCGGCTCATTTGGCATTCCAACTACGTTTCAGCTGCCTCGCCGCGTCGCATATTCGATTGCAATTTGTGTTATTAAAAGCTGAAACATGGCGGCTTCGAATGCGTTAATTTATCACCAGTTGCCTATAGCGAACGGCGGCAGCGAGCCTCCATTTCAATATAAACATTTTGCGCAAATGTGTTGCATACTTTCGAGCGTGTTCAGTTGAGCTTTGTCTATATGTGAGTCACGTCTGACGGGGAGTCTCAGCACATGTTAAGCTCAAGATTTATTGGTACACTTAAGCGAGCCTCAATGCTACTTATGATACCCTAGGAAAAAGAGAGTGAGCAGTGTTTAGCCAGCAGTAGAAGACATGATGAACGATTGTAGGTAAAAAGATGATTTGACAGCTTCAACTGATTTGTTAACGAAATTTGCAGAGATGATTTGGAATTACATTTAAGCAATGCTTAATGCTACCTTAGAAAAATGTAAATGGGCAATCTTATGCAAGCAGATAGGATTGTCTATTAAGGTACTTTGAGAACTTCAGCAGATCAGAAGGACTTCAAACTGAATTAAGCAGTTTATATAGATATTTGAAGTATATGAAGTTAAGATAAGTTCAAGAAGAGTGTATACAAGCAGTGCACGGTATATAGTATATAGATAGATATATAGATACTTCAAAAGCAAAGACCAACTCTACAGGTTCTTATAAGCTAAAGCTATTCTTACTTCTAGTAAATAAAGTTTGTATCACTTATATGTATATTTATACTACCACGAAATGTATCGAAGTGTCTGACATATTCCATATATTCCATTAGCTCAATATGTATAATTTCATTGAACGAATTCTAATGCGCTTTTAATGAGCACTTCAAGTTATTTAGCAATTAGAAACAGCTGCTTCTATGGAAAAGCAAATTAAACCCTATCATTCATCTACTGTAGGTGCAGCTACTTAAATGTATATATAAAGATAGATAGGTAGATAGCGAGTGGACTGTAATAATACAATTGTTACTCTAAGTAATTTGTATCTTCAATATGCGAATTATGTCTGCTTGATTAATTATGATAAATGATGAGCGAAAACATTTCAGTTTCTGTTTCTGACATTTTCCCCCATTTCACAAAGGGGTAGACAGATGAAGTAAGCTGCGGCGATTCAAAACAAACCCATTGACTGCAGACTTCACTTCAACTGAATTATCATATTACAAAAGCCGATTGTGTGCGGCAAATCATTTTAAATAAACATTGAGCAATTGAATGTTTTCGACAGGTGCCAAATGAAAGAGATAATAGCACAGGCTATGGACAATAATATAGTCAACAATTTGCTGTCAGCTCAAAAGTAGCTTAAAAAGTAGTTAATAAATATTAAATCTAAAGCTATTTGAACGGAACTTCATCAAATATATGTGAGTGATATATATATATATATATATATATATATATATATATATATATATATATATATATATATATATATATATATAAATATATATATATATTAATGCAATTATTAATCTTCAGAAATATTTCACATATTATATATCACAAACCATTCCTCAAGTTATTTTGTTGAATCTCTTGCAATTGTGCTTCAATTGATTTGAATTGTTGCAAAGTGTCCAACCAAAATATGTTGCATACCATGACTTGGCCTCAAGCTAAATTTGAATTGTCAAAAATATAACGAGGTTTTTTCGTCTGCTGCGAGCTGCCCTCTGCCCGAGCTTCTCGTATCGCTGAACCCATCTCTCAGTTCATTGGCCCGTTGTCTCGTTGCGCTGACATAAACTGCATTGAAATGTCATAAAAATTGAAACACGCTTCTCTCTTTCGTCTTTCGTCTCTCTGCCAGTTACCAGTTTTCATCTGCAGCCGGGATTCGACTCGTTTTACTGCGTCCTGTGTACTGTGTCCTGCTGCTGGCTGACTTTGAATGGCAGTTGGCTTGCACTGTCGCATAATGTTGTTGTTGTTGTTGTCGGTTTTGGGCGGCTGCTTTGCATACAAATAACGGTAATCTTTAGCTCGCCCCGACAGTTTGCCCTAGTCTCTGGTCGCTGGTCGCTGTTCGCTGTTGCCTGCTGCGCTCGGCACTTGCCCCATTTCGCTGATGTTGCGCTTTTGCAC